TTCAGTTTAACTTTTTTCACTCGGTTTTTTTGTGTATTCGATAGGTCTTGTTTCTGTCTATGATGTAGACAACGTCGCCGAGCTTACTTCTTTGCTTATGCCGGTTCTTTTTGTAAAAAATACAAAAAAGTGCGTTTTTCTTTACCTTGTTCTCTTTCTGTGCTTTTGCAGCGAATTTTTTCCAGCTTGGACGATACTTGCTCAGAATGATGAGCGGAAGAATCCAGACAACGTCGCAGCGTACGAAACGACTATGCGGGGGTGAAAATTTAAAGGACGCATCAAAAATCAGATTGGCGTCCATGTGCAACACAACTTTACAGCATGTTTAATATGTTCAATTCAGTTGTTGACAAGTTCTGCTTCTTTCGGTCTCCCAACTAACGCCACAGCTAAACAGCGCTTTTTTTGACTGGAAAAGAACTTTGTTGTTGTTTGCCACCCAATTTAACCAGCAATCCTGGAGACGAAACTCTGCGTAGGAAACCACCAAGTTAAGGTTTCAGATTTGGTGATGTGCTAACCTCTGCTTTATATGAATTTTCTAAGTTTTCTAATTTAATTTGTATCTCTAAATTTTCGTCTATTTTTCTGAAACAACCTTCACTTTTTATAGGGGGCAAGAACTCAGACAACTATCACTTTCTAGCCTCTGTCTCTTGACTATCGAAGGTATGGTTCAAGGGGTCTTATTAAGACAGCAATCAGGGGGGGGGGGGTCGTAACCAGCGATCGTGTACCACAACCCTTGCTTGACTCTGAAAACGACCTTCCTCCATTTCGTGAATATCTGGGATCTAAATTGGCCCGAAAGCGAAAAAACGTCCTTTCAATCCCTGCAACTCACCGTAGCTTCACAATAATGCGTTATGACAGCGAGCAAGCATCATATTCATAAGCGGCATGCTTGTAAACTGTTCCAGGTAAGGTTTTGAGCAAATTTGGAACTAGGGCCGTTCTACTGTACATCTACCGTAACCCAAGAATTAGCATGTCGAATAAGCCCTCTGGACCGAATTCCAGCCAAATTCACGATTTTGACTTCCTACCGTACACCTATCGTAACCACACGGGGAGAACTCCTGTGGAGAAAGTGTGATATCTGTAATCAGCATGCAAGGTAACCCTTATAGACGGAGTTTGAGCAAGCTCTACGTTAATAAAATTTTGGGGCCCGGATAGCCGAATAGCGCCAAACTAATATTCCACTCGTAGTCAGCATGCTCAATTCACCCCGCCCCCTGTGCCAACTCCCAGCCCCGTAGCTCAAACTTTGCAAAAAAATCGATAAAGTCGATGAAAGTAACGGACAATTTCAAAATCTAATACTGTATTCGTAATCAGCATGCTCGGTTACCCACCTTGCCAACTCCTAGCCCCGTAGCTCAAACTTTGCAAAAAAAATCGATAAAGTCGATATTGATTGATAACGAAAAGTAGCCTATGACATAGTAGCCTACGCCCGATCCGAAGTGTATGTGTGCCAAGTTTGGTCCCAGTCGGTTCAGAAACAAAAACTTCTATTCGGAACATACATACAGACATACAGACATACAGACATACAGCTTTATATATAGGATTGAAATACGACGAGAGAAAGAAATGTTACGCGTTACATCGAAAGTCACAGCGAGGTTTGATGAAACTGCTAGTGTAAGGGGAAAATGACGCTCTTTTGGCATCCGCGCTAGTCGACCTAACAAGTCTGATGTGCGCCTGTCGAGTGTTTTCATGGAATTGAATAAAACTTCATAACGTTGTCTGAGTGAGATAACGCAGCAGCATGTCCATATGTTTCCACGAAAAAAATAAGCTGGCAACGCCGATTTTGCCCAATTCATGGACCACGAAGAGAAAAAACAGGAGAGCGCAGGCAGAAAAAATGTGTTCGGCTCCAATAGCTTACGCCTTTCCATCTTTCATCCTGTCTCCATCTGCTCCATTCCCGAACCACCTCCCCTCCCCCTCCTCCTCCTTCCGTTTTCTTTCTCAGACAGCCCATAACCTCGCGCATGGTGCATTTTCATTGCCGTCGCAAATGCCTGCCCTTATCTAGAAGTGTCGCATCTTTCTGATCGCGAAATGAGAACAAACTTTGCTGCAGTCGTCTACACAAATGTGTGGAAGTTGTGTTAACGGTTGATAAGAGTCGTTTATTTGCGAATCTTAAAAATTAATAAATCGATAAGAGCTCCAGGCGAATCGCGGAAAAAGTAGCCTATATAGTGCGACAAGGTTGAATTTATATGTGTGCAAAGTTTGGCGTTTGTTAGTCTACTCATAAAGATTTCTATTCGAAACATAGCTCTCGAAAGAATACTTGTTTATGAACTTTGAAACATGTATAAGTATATATGTGCGCAACTACAGTCGAATATCAAAGGATAAATTTTCGCGTCCAATATTTACAGGTTTGTGAAAGCCTCTAGCATACGCACTTCAACTAATAATGGAAACGCTGCAAGATTTGGGTCAAAGATTGTGATTGACTTGTAGCAAAGTTTGCGATCCAGTTAGCATTAGTTAGTCAATGCTTGTCTGTTTATTTTTTCAGTACTTCTGAAGATTCCCGTAACATGTTTATTTTGTGGTTTTCATAACCATTAGGTTCTCACGAAAGTTTGTTCGCACCATTCTTGAACATAACTTCTTGCTTTCTTATCCGATTTGCTCGCCTTTTTGTTTGAAAATGTAAGTCATACTCTTCTCAGAAGCACTTTAGCGGCTTTCTATGACCATATACCATGCAAATAGAAGAAAAGAAAAAACTACTGTAATTTTGTTCCGGAATTTGGTTGTAGAAAATCTGAAATTTGTAATAAGAAGTCAGAGAAGTCGGAATTATGGGTTTAGTCTTAACCTGTTTTCCAAATAAGTAGATTTCTATTGATTGTTTCTATTGTCAAAATTTATGTGGAGCAGGCAGTACAAAACAGCAAATTCTTTGGCATTTCTTCCAAAAGCCATAGCCTTACGACAGAAATGAATGCGTTGTTACCGTTTGATCGTTTAATGCCTGTTAACTTTCAAATGGGGCCTGACGACAGCGCTTCGTTATCGCCATGACTAACTGCGCAGAATGACATATATTCGTTGTCACTGTTGATTTGTTTACCGAAAAAGAAAAAGAAAAGGAAGTAAGAAGAAGAAGAAGAAGAAGAGACGGAAAAGAAAAGAAGAGAGAAAAGAGAAAGGAAAGAAAAAAGAGGAGAATGGAGAAGAGAAGAGGGAGAAAAAAGAAAGAGGAAGAAGAGAATAGAGAGAAGAGAAAGAGAGGGAGAAGATGGATAAAAAAGAGAAAAGGAAAGGGAGAGAAAGAAAAGGAAGAGAAAGAAAGAAAGAAGAGAAAAAAAGAAGAGGGAAAAAGAAAAGAGAAAAAAGAAGAGAGAACTTCCGCAGGACGAGGCTCTTTCACCACTGCTTTTTCTAATCTATACTGTTGAGTTACCCCAAATTCAAAAACTCATCCTGACATACATGTGGACTTGGGCTGTTGGTGGATTTTTTGTTGGTAGTTCATTACCGTAAGGTTCTAACTATTTTCGTTTTACTTGTTCCAAATGTGGCACGCCTTGTGCGTATTAAATAAATAAGTAAATAAATAAATATTTGAAAAGCAGCGGTCTCCAGTAATCTTTCCCTAGTAAGATGCTTTTATGGAAAACATGACTCACACTTTCAAACACATTGAAAACGAGCAAATCGGATGAAAGCAAGGCTATAAATTTTTGAAATAAGCAAGAACGAACTTTCTTGCCAACCTAGTATTTTTACAATAATAATAACCAATGGTTAGGTACCTATGCTTGAATAAGCATTCATTTTAGCATCATTTTACACAAGAAAGAGTGGCGATGAGCAGTAACTAATGATAAAATTAGATAACAATAATTTCGTGTAGATCTACAGCACATATTCCTATAACGTCCTGAAATGCATTTGAAGCGCGACCGACATTTACAGATTTATCTTTGACCATACCCACAGTCAAGTGATTTTAATCTCGAAGAAGCAAATCTAAATTTTTCGAAAAGTGGTTTATGCTCGCTTTTTCAGCATTGATCTCGCATAAGATTGCAAAGACAAGAGTCTGTAAGTTCATTTTGACTCGAAAATTTTGTTGTCACTGTTTTGCACAAACACAGTTTTGGTATTTGAAAACGAACGACACAGAGTTTTGGGTGGGTACTAAATCGAATCAACCTCCTTGTCTCGAGACGGGTTCCTGCAGAGTAGCAATTATGAGAAAATTTTTCAATGTTTTACCGACACTGTGGCACATTTTTAAAATCTAAAAGTTTATTCTCCGAAGCTAAAACCAATAGAGCTGCAAAAAGCTTGAATTCTGATTAACTCACACTTTTTTCAATCTTTCAGAGATAAAATCGTGCATCTAGGTTAGATCCTTAAAAAACTGAGAATTTATTTGAAGTTGCATATTTTTTCTTCAAATTACCATACAGATTTTTGAGCTCTTTGATTAGATATAAAGGTTCGACACTGATGCTGCTGATATATCGCGCATTTTAACAAGAAAAAACAAACCTTGGTAAAAGAGTTGTACAAAGGTGAGCACTAACAGCGCGCCACCAAATGAAAACCAATATACAATAGTATGCGCAAACCTTCTGAGAATAAGTTATTACGATATTAACTTAAGCAGAAAAAAAAACAAGTAAACAAATCTGCGTTTCGAGTTTTACGATAACCCTACTGTGCGCAGTATTTTGCCAAAATTTAACCCACAAGCAGAAGACATCAGATCATGCACCCATAAATGTCGGTCATCTGACTGCACCGTTAGCGCATTGCGACATTTTGTGCAACTACGTACAATGATAGCGTACGCACGGTTTCAAATAAATTGGATGAAAAAGTATGGCACTTGTTAAAGGCATCCATACTTGTCACTTCAATTCAACTTCATTTGTTTTAAAATAAAACGCGGCAACGAGCTCAATTACATTTTATCCACATACGCCTTTTTATTTTGTAGCTAGATGGGCGATACTACTCGTACAGGTTGGATTGGTATTACATTACTCCTGAGCAAAGGTAAAGGGTTTTACACTTTAATCAATAATGCATGCAGATGTTCAGGTTATTTTCTTCGGCAAAACAAGATAAGAAGAACTGCATTTTTCGTTCTGATATTGTTGAGCATATTAGCTACGTTACTTTGTCAGAGTGAACAGAACACATGGGCTGCATCTGCAGTTGATCACGCCACTTATAACAATGTGATTCTAGCAAGAGTTCACGTACTTGCAGTAAACAAAATAAATGGCAGCACTGCGTTTTAGACAGCTCCTCTTATTGTCACCTGGACAGCATATCCGGCGCACTGTGATAGAGAGGCTGAACTTTTGATGCCCGCTGCAAAAAGTTGCCTTTACCAATGCGAATTTGTTGATAGAGAAGGGCAAAAACTTCAGTGAGTGTTTTCGCCTAATTCATTTTAGTTACACAAATGTTGTGCATTACTAATGATTCCAGCAGTCGAAAAGCTTCGGCCTATCTTATACATGGGCTATCTATAAACTTTTTCGATCTGCCTAAGCAGAGCACCGAACATCTAATTATTCTTCTAATGAGGGAGTCGCCACTAGAGCTAGAAAAGTGGAGTGATGATCGAATCTACAGGGTAGGTGAGTAATGAAAAAAATGAAATGTTCCATATTTCAGATTTTTGACTGGTTAATCACTCCCAAGATATATAATAGCTTGAAGATTGCTATTAAACTTCTCATTATACGTAGATCACATTGAAAGTTTGTCCATTCTTCGCTACAGCTCTTTGGTAACTTATCATCGTCTTTACCATATATCTAAATCAATATTCTTGACGTTTTTTCGTGACTGAGCAAATATTCAAAAAAAACACATTCTCCTTCATGTAGAGCTTGTCTTGCTTTTTGATGGTACAGTAGTTAAAGTCCAAGCTCGATTATCGATGAATCCTGGCATAAGGTAGTTATTTGTAGACGTATTCTATAGCCGATAACCAAAGTTGTTAATACGCTTTATTCTGTCACAAGCCGACGTTTCGGTGCCTTCACCTTTGTCAAACCCTCGGAAATCTTCGATTTAGGGTTGAGTAACTACCAAACACAGCGTCTGCACAGTTAGTAGTTCAGTAGTACATTAGTTAGTCTTGCTCTGAAAATAATATAATAAAACCTATTCAAACTGAATAATATACAACTTATTGCTTTGAAAGCTCCGAATTGATGTGGGACAACCTAAAGCTACTGCGACAAGCGAAGAAAAGGTCAACGTTTTTTTTTGCTCTAACGCCTCTAAGCCTGCGGCGGTGGCTTATTCGGAAGATGGCAGCCTATTCGCATTTTACATGCCTCTGGCATTATTATCGAGATTTTGCACCAAAATGAATATGTATAAATTTATATGGGATAAGAAATGGAGCAAATCATCCCTCATTCAACGCTGCATTCGATAGCTTAAGGCCGCAGCACAGACATATGAGCATAGTAACAAAAAGCCATTACCTTTGTCTACTTTGCTAATTTTAGGTTCCAAAAAACTACTTCAACGCTACCATGACGTACAGAAAAGAATCTCGGTACTTCTACGCTTACGGTCAATTTGAAATGAGAACAGCAAATGATGCTGTAGAGTCTGTGATTACGCAAGATCAGGTACAGTCCAATACTAGAGCACGTTGGAGCCTCTTCATTGAAGCGAAAAATGATTATTTCAAAGATATACGTCTGAGAACATAGCTTCGGATCTAATGATCTAATGATTCCGGAGTCCCGGAACAATTCCAGCACAATTCAGGCACTGTGCTGGAACAGTGCCGAAACTGTGTTGTAGCCGCCCGCATGCAGTTTCCATCGGCGTGAAATGACAATTTTTGACTTTCTTCAACAACTACGATTGTAAGCTTTGCCCATATTCGTCTCATTCTCGCATGCTGCTTCCGTAATGTAGAGATTACAAACTCAAAGCGGGTCTTAGCAATGGAACTTTTCATGTCATGTTTTGCGTAAACTATCTACTTTCCTTTGCGCGTCTCTTCTCCTTCGTGATTTTTTTTTTGTTACAGCTGTTTTCAGAAAGGGCATACCATCACCTGCGGAAATCGCGGATTTTTCCTTGTGTTTTCATGATACTGGGTTTTTGGGCGTTCCAGCCAATTTCTTTTCACAACTTCTACTGCTTATGCTTTCGTTCTTGATTACTGTCCCTGCCATTGAAAAAAAAACCGTGGAGAAATGTACACGAACAGAAGCGGCATCAAATTGTGACAGTTTTCAGTTGATGTACAAAACGTAATAGCGCTCATTCCTTTACCCTTTCCAAGTTTAAAACTTTTTAATCACAAGGGCAAGCGAAATATCAGGTTGTCCCATAAGTTCCGTCCGTTTTGATTTTCAGTCGCAATAAATCATCAACTTCTTGTTCCTAGGTATGTTTCAAGGCACCATTCGATAGAGCAAATCAAGCTCTACAAGATGACTATCTTGCTGTTGCACTAGCTGCAATACATCTCGAGTCTTAAACCGAAAACTAAAAAGATGCAACTGCCCAAAATCGAGAAAAAATCGTAACTCCGTTTAAAAACATCCTACAAAAATTCCAACTTGCTCATGTAAACACTAACCATCTAAGATATTTATATACGCCGTTGCCGTATTTTTTCCTTGGCTAGAAATCAAGAAGAAGAAAATTTTCATGTTTTTGACAAAGTGATGTTGTGCTGTCCCTACATAGATAGTTGTATACTACTAGCCTTTAAAAGTACAAATGTAAATTTTCAGCTTTCTACAAGCAGTAGTTCACGAGAAATATCGAATATAGCTTGCCTTACTTGGGTGTCTTACGCTAAAATCCATATTTCTCGGAAACCACTGCTTGTAGAGAGCTGAAAATTTACATTTGTACTTCTACAGGCTAGTAGTATACAACTATCTATGTAGGGACAGCACAACATCACTTTGGCAAAAACATGAAAATTTTCGTCTTCTTGATTTCTAGCCAAGGAAAAAATACGGCAACGGCGTATATAAATATCTTAGATGGTTAGTGTTTACATGAGCAAGTTGGAATTTTTGTAGGATGTTTTTAAACGGAGTTACGATTTTTTCTCGATTTTTCGGGCAGTTGCATCTTTTTAGTTTTCGGTTTAAGACTCGAGATGTATTGCAGCTAGTGCAACAGCAAGATAGTCATCTTGTAGAGCTTGATTTGCTCTATCGAATGGTGCCTTGAAACATACCTAGGAACGAGAAGTTGATGATTTATTGCGACTGAAAATCAAAACGGACGGAACTTATGGGACAACCTGATATAAGAATGAGGTGGAGAGCAAAATTCACTATGAAAACTGTTGAAAAAGCTTAAAAATTGTAATTGCGGCGCTCAATACCGCATGCGGGCGGTTGCAGCGCGTGCAGCGCAATTCCAGCACACTTCCAGCACAGTGCGAGCACTGTGCTGGAACTGTTCTGGAACATCGGGATCAGTATGAACCCAGCACAGCGTACAGTCGATGATATGATTCCAAATTCGGAGCACGATATACGATGTTTCTGACGAAATGAAATGTTTATAACACATACAAACTTAAGTGTAGGGACCATTACAAGTAATGGATTTAAGCTATGACTAAGAATGGGTCAGTTTAAAGCGCAAACATCCGGTTTACAAGATTTTCAGTTTGTCCAGCAGTAGCCTATCATTAAGTGAAGAACAGACCAAAACACTTTCTGGGGACATGAACAGATCCAAAATAATAAACTTTAGTAAATATTGCTTTCCTACTTACGACCAACCAGAATAGCGTAGTCGGAGTGGCTTTTCCAGATTCTTATACCAATATGAAAAGATTTGAATGCTGACTCCAAATCAATTCGATTTCTGCCAAAAGCTTTTGGACGCGAGTTATGAGTGTTTTTCGGAGCGAAAGGTAACGCATATAGACAAAATTAACTATTACGGTCGCTCCAGCGCTTAAATACAGTAGTGCTTAGTGTGAGTATATTAGACAAAAGGTATCTACTGCCTATAGTAAGTTATTGAGATATTAAAGTATTTGATATACCCAACATTTGACTTGTGTCTCATTTTCCATGATCTCTATACATCATTTGTTCTTAACACGCTTCCCTCTGCTGAGTGGATAATCAACAGCTTTGGAGTGCTTTAAAGCAAGAAAAATGATTTTGAAGAAAAGACGACTAGCCGGCGGAGATTATCAGTCACTAAAGTGCGGTTCATAATTATACGAACACCCAAAATTTTGTAAGTTTTCTGACTTTCTGGGAGAAACTCAAAAAGCCGTTGGTACCACGCGACAGAACACAGCCGTAAACGGTATATGATCCATAAGAATGGAAATCGATGTCAATTTTAGGAGTGTTTTTGCGCTTAATGCGAATTTTTAGCGGTTTATAATCATACGAACACCTTAGACAAAGGTCCATTTTTCATTCAAGATTGCAATCATTTGAGTCCAAATGTTTGTAGAGTTACAGTAACAAAGTCTGGCATATCTGCTACGCACTGAACCCAGTGCAGTTCAAAAAGAGGACCGTTACTTTTTTCAGAAGGCTCTAAATGCTTTTGGAGTGATTGCGCTCCAAAAATATCCGTTCTTTTGTGGTTTACGCGCTCCAAATAACTTCTACTAAAGCTATGAGATAAAATAAGCTCTTTCGATAGGTATTTTGTTTGACGCTTAGAAAATCTTTGCGTCTTCGTGCCGTTTTTCAACCAAGTCTCAACCTTACCACAGAGTTAGCACGATTTCGAGCTTCAAAACTCAGCTTCTCTGTTGCGCAAACATTTGATATGAAGTAGCTGCATTGTTTGCATGATGATGCTTCTGTGCCAAATTTTTTGGGTTTTTTGTAGAACTGATCTTGAGGCTGTGGAGCTACAAACCAAATAAAGGTGTGATTGCAATAGTAAAAAGTGTTTTTGGTGAAATGATGTCTGCGCGGCCAAAACAAACGCTCAACGCCGCTGATTTTTTCTAGCCAAGTATACAGTCTTGTGAACTTCTACATAATACATGCTTACTTCATTGTACGGCTTCAGAAGCTGAGTTTTGAGGCTCGAAATCGTGCCAACTTTGTGGTAAGGTTGGAACTTGGTTGAAAACCGGCACGAAAACGCAAAGATTTTCCAAACGTCAAACAGAATACCTAACGAAAGAGCTCACTTTATCTCATAGCTTTGGTAGAAACTAATTAGAGCGCGTAAACCACAGAAGAGCGGATGATTTTGGAGCGCAATCACTCCAAAAGCATTTAAAGCCTTTTGAAAAAAGTAACGTCCTCTTTTTGAACTGCACTGGGTTCAGTGCGTAGCAGATATGCCAGACTTTGTTACTGTAACTCTACAAAAAATTTGGACTCAAATGATTGCAATTTTGAATGAAAAATGGACTTTTGTTTGAGGTGTTCGTATAATTATGAACCGCTAAAAATTCGCATTAGGCGCAAAAACACTCCTAAGATTGACATAAGTTTCCATTCTTATGGATCATATACCGTTTTCGGCTGTGTTCTATCGTGTGGTACCAGCGGCTTTTGAGATTCTCCCAAAAAATCCGAAAACTTACAAAATGGGTGTTCGTATAATTATGAACCGCACTTTTTATCGGAAGCTGAAAAATGCGACTTGCAGCAAAATCTCGCTCCCGTTCAATATACTTATAGTAAACTTTATTAGAAACGCGTGCGGATAATCAGACCGGCCTTAGAAGCATTCTATAACTTTCTGAATCATAAGTCCACGTTCCTGTTAAAGCAAGAAAGTTTCCCAAAACTTGGATTGATTACAAACGTATTTGGATACTTCTAATTATGGACTACTCTGTTACTAGTCTTATGATTTTGATAATATGAAAACGTTTGCAGCTTCTCACCTCCTTGAAGAAGAAGACTAATGGTTCTCTATTATTTATATCGATCTGTAATAGTGCGTCGAAAAGAGAACAAAAAATTAGGTTGTGCATAATTCAGTGCGATTTATGCGATCTATTGCATAACCAAGCACATATCAAGGGAACTGAGAAAGTTCACAGAAATCACTACGAGAGGTCGATGTGAGAAGAAATTAGCAATAAATGGCAGCGCAACAAACAGTGAATGCAAGTCCAATTGCAAGGATCATGAACTGATAGGTATGTTTTCGCCTTAATTTTAGCTTTCTTTTTGTTTTTGGAAATAATAGATACAACAAAAATGCGCACTATCGACCTAGTTCCAAAATTTTCACGTTCCTCACTCTGCCAAACTTACTTGGAAGGAAGTATTCAAATACTAAAATAAGCCAAAATACAAAATGTAAAAATTGGATTCATGCTTAAGCTGACAATTTGCGTTTGAAGCTTGGAGAAAGTTGGGAATTTATTGTTGAACCGGCAAAGACTTCCAGTATAGAATCACTTGAAAGAGCTCCACTTTTTAGCAAACAACGCCAATTTCTCTCTCGATTTTTAATAGTTGAATGTAGCTCCGCATATGATTGCCTTATGTGGAAAATGCGAGACTTCAAAGGCAGTCATGTAGATTTTTTTGCTGTGGCAAAATGTTTTCTAGAATTTTGTATGACCCCGCGGTAACAAAATAAAGTGCACTACTTATGAACCATGTTCTTCGAAGCCACACTATACATGATAGCTCAGTGGCGTTAGTATGAGCCGTTCATTGGATAAGCATTCGAATAAATTATGAAAATTTTAGCTACTCACCGCTTTTATATTGCGTTCGAAAACAGTAATTGCGACGGATACATTACGGGAAAGTTCTATCATCGAATTTCGCAGTTGCTCGTTCCTGTGGTATTAAAGCGACGGATTTATGAAGGTAATCACAGAAAGACGAGAAAATGATGTGCATTTGAGTTATTCAGATGCAGGAATTCCGCCGACGTCTTTCATAGCAGCCGATGATTTCGATTCTCTTGAAGATTTAGGGAAACACTTGAATTACCTGCGTAAGAATGATACCGCATACCTCAGGTCAGTGGGTTTATAGCATATTTTTATTTTAAGTAGATGCAATGGTTATAGTTATGTAATAGATCTAGTGTCAATGCACGCATGTTGCATACTACAGATTTTGAGTTCAATTGTCACTAATAGTTTAATGTTAGTGTGCGGTCAAACTGCTAATAGGCCCTTTCAACACGTTGACGACGAGCTGTTTTTTTTTGACGTCTGTCCCTGTGGACGAAAGGTTTCCGGGCATTTTTACAGACGGTTGCATGTATGTATGTATATCTATCTATGCGTGAGGTACAAATTGCAAGTGGGCGGGGTAGCTCCGCCCACTTTTGGCGAGCCCCGCCCACTTTTCGAAAATGCTGGAAATTGCTCAAAATCAATAAATTCGTAAAAATTCCAGCCTTTTTAAAGGTGGGCGGAGCTTGCCACTCAGGGGGTGGGGCTTGCATAATGGGAGGCAGGGTCAAAATTAAGATTATTTAAGGTTCCCCAGTCACCTACGAGCTTTTCTATGCGATTTGAGAACGAAAAAAGTTTTTTGTAGAGGGCAACGGAGCGGGCGGAGTTTGCCAAAAGAGGGGCGGGGCCAACATGAAAAACTTCTGAGCCTAATTTGATTATGTGTACACAAATTGGAACCATTGCGCACATGAACTGGTATTTAGGGTGTCACGCACCATTGCGCGACATCGTCCACAGGCAGACTGCCTGTCGCGCACCATTGCGCACTGTCGTCAACGTGTTAACCTCAGTACAACAAAAATCTAGCTTACTATAACCTGAAGACAATTTAATTGAGGAAATGAGAAAGCCCACAGGCTGAGATGCAAGCTTCTCCATGCTGCAGATTCTAGTATCGTATTCAGGGCCAGGTAGGAGTGTGGAACGCCTGACCCAGGATACGCTAATTCAATAGGATTCACTAATTGAAATGGTCATTCTGAATATGAGTGACGACTTTGTTTTGACTCGAAGCGATTACCAGTGCTGCTGATCATTTATTTGAATTCTTTCTCAAAAGAATTCAAAAACTTGATTTTTATTAGATCGAAATTGTGCTGTTTATTTAAGCGTTGTTGGATCAGATAATCAGCAAACTTGCGAAACTTCTATCAACACACTTACGAGGCCATTTTGTCGATTTGTTTCGGATCTATGACTCATCGGTGCCTACTTTCTCTTTTTTCTCGTCAATGGCGGGTGGGATGGTCCAAGAGGTACTCCTCCGATTGAAGCTGCACACCTAGGCATCCTTGACTCGTTTTGTCGCGAATACGCTAGCTTTGAAGTGAAGAGATTACTTGGAAATCTCGGCAACATCGCACAACAAATTAAAGCATGCCGTCTTCTAGCAATACGCTTGCGCTCGATGTGTTCCCACAAGGGACCGTAGAAGCTCTTGAAGATGGAAGGGCTGGTGAGATTCAGCTTCTGCATCTTCAGAGAATAAAACTCTCGCTTGTGCTGCGCTTCCTTTCCCTACAATGCCGCTCATGCATGCATCTCCTGTTACCTACTTGAATATGGCGCAAACCTGTTTAGAGCTATTTAACAACAAACGTCGGTTGACTTTACTGATGCAAGTCGCCAATCCTTTCACGCTCAAAGCGTATTAATACATATGTGTTTGGTATATTTTGACTCAATGGGATGCTCAAAGAATGTTTTAAATTCCGATTTTTGGAGACCATTCTTTTGAATTACTACTCCCTTTCACATATACATGATTAGCCATAAATGTGGAGATCAATCAGCTTGCTTTGCTTTCTCATACAACTTCATTCATAGATTTTGTAACAGCGACATTGCTTCGCTCGTTACTCGAAATTTGAAAAAAGTTACACTTTCTTCAAAAATTCGTAAGCCTAAAATTCTTGAAGATTTTGTTTGATCCAATATTGATTAAAAAAGAAAAGTTATGCATGCTATAGTGGCGTCTTGAATTTCTACTGAGCTCTCAAGGAAGAAAAGGAAGAGGAAGATTACTCGAGCTTTTCTTGTTTGCAATTAGGCCGCCATAGGTTTGAAACATTGAGAAACCATCTGATAGAGTTTTGAACTCGCCTTTCAACCGTGCAGCTGTGCTGATCGAAATTAGTGAAGAGATTTAAAGAATTTACAATAAGGAATGGTTATTTTATCAAAAGAACATAAGAACTTACGATCAGAAAAATCTTAGCGCATTGTTGCTAAAGAATAGTTTATAAAAGTCAATGTACCAAAAATTTCGATTTTTACAACGTCAAGACCTAGCTAAAACCGCCAAAGTGTCCTGCAAAACTCGTAATATATTTTTCAACAGATTTAGAAGGCCCGAAAATGCATCAAGATAACGAGGACTAAGATCAAATATGTTGAGGTATAATGCACAAAGGCAGTGTCCGGGCAATACTTTAGAGATTTCAATGCCACGCGAAAGTGGCCCCTTTCAGACGCAGTATCGCGCGTGCCTATAACGTTCGACCTAAAGCAAGAAAAACGACCGGAAAATGGGAAAACTTGTGCCTTGGGGCGAGGCTCTCCGACCTGTCCGAATTCCTGCTATGCGGCAGAGTATGCATGCCGCCACAATTAAAATCGTTGGGTCCGCACAGGCTCTGCGTCTCATCCTTGCCGGAAACCGTCGAATTTCAATTTGCAAGGCTTTCAAAAACGCATGTTCTCGACCTTTTCGCGCCTTGTAATGTGGATTTTCGGATTCAGCCTTGTGGACAACTTCAGTGAATTTTCTAAAAATCGAGTTCTTGTCCTGACACTGCTTTTAAGTCTATTTGAATAGAAAGCTGAGACAACCTGTGATAAGGTTTGATCAATAATGGACGATTTTTTCGTGAGAGTAAAAATGTGTTGGAGGTGTCGTCTCTCTCGAAATTTCGTTGCATTCACTTTTCTGGTGGAAATCCGAGCACCAAATGAAAGCGTTTCTTCAAAAATTTAGCTACTGTACGTAAGAAATTGTCTACCATTTGATTCAACTGGCTTGGCTTCGGCAAAGGCGGAGCTTCGTGACCTAATTAAGGCTAGGTAATGATCAGAGAGGAGCACTCGCGCGAGAGAGACGCGAGGTGCGTCGCGGGCGCGAGCGGCCTCAATTAGATCACAAAACCCTGCTCTAACGGAGCTAAACCAGTTGAATCAAAGGTTACACACACTTGACTACTCTTTGAAATTATCCAAATTAGATATTGGCGCCTCAATATTAGTAGCCAATGGGGTCATTCTGTTACCCGTTATTTTCGTTCGAAAAAAGCAATCGCCAAGCTGTTCAGTTCTGTAAGCGTAAGGATAGAACTTCGTGTTGAAGATTTTTGAAACAACAATTCAGCAGTCAGCGCTCAGAAAATCAGAAATTCGTAGATAAGTCGCGACTTTGAAGGCTGTGTCCCGGAAGATTTTGCAGTTCCACCTTTTTGCATGTTTGAGGCCTTTTCGACATGCAGAATCCGACTTTATGCTTTGAACGGGTGAAAAAATCGTTAATGCGTTTACAAGTTTTCAAAAGGCAGCTCGCACGAGAATTTCGAGAAAGCTGAGGGAAGCCCTGGAACCTGTAGTTTTCGCTTTCGATAGCATTCCATGCGGAACCGGTCGTAGGTTTTGCACCGAAGGATAAGTGAAGCCGTATGAGCGCGCACCGATGAGAGTTGCGCTCTTCGATTCGAGGTCTTTTTTCTCGCCGAGGGGAGGCCTACTGGAAATATATTGATGAAGACAATATGAAATTTTGATTTATTTTGTTTCACAAATCTTGTTTGCTCAAGCCCTCATTATCTTTTGCCCTACTGGCTTGCGGGTACAAGATAGGCATCTTATCATTTAAAATAACAAACTTTGACAGCAGTTATGTTTTGTCTTAAACAAGGTTTCGAAATAAAAACTTGTTTTAATTTTTTCAATCTATATTTTTCTTCCTCTTGTGATGTAGGTATATCGATGAATGTGCACTGTAATGCAAAAGTTTCCTTATTCTGATGGTTTTCATCGCATTCATATATGTAGATTGTTCGAAGATTTACAGCACGTCAAATTGAAAATTCGCAAGATGGCCATTATTTCTGCATCAACCTAATAATTACCGTTCGTAGAAACAAAATATGATAACCGAGCATATGGAAGTGGAGGAACAGGGAAATATTAGTGAGACAGAATGAGTTCTATTATAGTATGTACTATCCTCGAGCTGCTGGGTTTCTTAGCTAGTCATACAATGAAAAATGCAATCAAACCTATATTTTGCAGCGATGGAGGATATTGTGTGCCAGTTGCTTTCGTGCCTACGGAGGTCTGTCTCTACGACGAATTTGCCGAAAAAAGATAAAAGTAAAAACTGTCACAATGACGATTCTTTCGATCTCGTCACTTCAGTGAAAAATCTATATGTCAGAAGAATCTAAGGCACATATTTTTTGATGTCTAAAACGCATGCAGTGGATGTCGTATGACGGCTCTAACCAACTGCGCAGGATGACATCAGATGTAATTCGTACGTTATCTGTACGAATCTATGCTGTTCTTGAACCCAAAATGCTATAAAAACTCTCTTTGCCTCCATGTTCTAGATGAGCGAATCTGTGAGAAAGTAGTATGGGAAGCCCTGTCTCAATACAATAGCTTTAGGTACTTCGAGTGGACGAAGCGTTATCGGAAACCGGATGTGTACGAAACAAATGCGATGTGCAAGCTCTGCGAAGATATCTATAAGGGGAACAGAATGATTGTGGACGATATAAAGAAGCACTTCTCCAAAGATCAGTGCATTTGAAAATTCTTCCTCTCCAAATACCTTAATTATTTTGGATTTCTTTTCCAAGTGATCAATATAAAGTAAATGATTTTGTGACCTATTAAGGCTCAATAATAGTAATGGAGAGAGTACCACGATACAATGAGAATCTAATAACAAAAAACGGTAACACGTTTTCTGATTGGATGGCAAAGAAGGAGGGGACTTTCTGCAGCAATACACAGAGCGACCAGATGTGTAGCAAATCCGAAGTCTACGAGTTTTTATCAGTCTAGTGCAAAATAATACGCGTTTCTCATGCTACCGCGATAGGGTCGTAAAAAATTCTAAAAACATATTTTTGGAAGAGCACGATAAGCTCTCAAAGATTGCGTTGAAACATTTGCGGATGATAAACTTGAGTTAATTTCGGAAATTACTGTCTAAAAAACTACATCGATCAGATTTCCGTCCGAAAAGCGCTAAAACATTCGCAAAAGACTATCCACTCAAAACTTCCAGTATTCAAAAAATTTCAAAAATTAGGTAATCGGATTGCCTTTCGAAAGAGTCACTCGGACGTCCACTCTGCCCGCATGTATGCCCTCCACATCAGATTATCATGTGTAAGTTGCCAGTTTTCGGTTTCTTACACTAACTCTCACACTTCTTGCAGACCAGATCTTCTGGAAGGCTAATCATGATCATACTTGCAAAGTTCGTTGTATAAAAACATCCCTGTGAGAGTGTGCCACCTTTCGTGATTTCTATTTCTATTTATGTACGGAAAAGATTTTGCAGGCTTATCTATTGACCAATTGTAATGACAAATTTGGATTCGAACAAAAACTTTTTATTTAAGTCAAAACGATAACAAAAATAAAGGTGATTCATTTTGTACCAATAATCAACTTCATACCGAAAACTCGAAGAAATGTTGCTTGATTATGAGAGTTACATTTATTATTATTGTGAATGCGAATGATAAATTGTTCCTCATACGATCTGTAACTGCTTAGTTGATTGAGTGTGCGCGGAAAATGAGCGCTATAAATGGCTCTTAGAATGTATCAGTTTAATAATTTTCCTCCAACCGCCTCTTGTATTGCTTATTTATTCTCCTCTTGATAACAATTCCTGTTTTCTCATGTTCCGTCCCAAGGAATGAAGACTCGAAGACGTGTCCAAAACTTGAGGACATAACAGCAGTGGCTATCAGGACTGACTGCTACTACCAAAGAATTTCCGAATAACGAGGAAACTCATTAGGAACCGAGTCGAAGAGAATGCAGAGAACCGCTCGCAATCAGATTAAAGGGAGTTTATTATTCGGCATGGTAATAGGCCGAAGCGAAATGTTGATACGAAAATATGCCCAAACGAAATGTTGATAATGTTCAAAGAACTTATCAAAGAAGACCAGAAAGCCTCAGGAAATTAATGTGAGAAGAAAGGAACGAGATGATGGAAAGTTTCTGGAGCATTTTGAATGCAGTGAAAGGCCAGCATTTCTCAATCTGATCTATCGGAAGTTCCGATAGATCAGATTGAGAAATACTTTGACTTCGAAGCGGATATGTGCTTTCGCAATTAGTACACGCGCTACAAGGAATTCTGTCAGAGATGCAAAGCGGCTCACAGAGTGCCATGATGAGACTGCTGTGCGAAAAGCTGGAAAAGGATAGTTTCTAAAAGTATCAGACATGTGCTACAGAAAAGATGACAGCTACTAAATTCGAAGACGATCGAAACTTTAAAGCAACTGTTCTGACTGAAGTACGAATTAACTATGACGTACCAGTGTTTTGAACCAGAAGAACGACGCTAAAGATTTATGTATACTTAAACATGAACTGTGAGAGAAAGACTTCGATAACGATGGCTTTGAATGTACTGTGAATATTTGGTTTTGAGAGCCAGAAAAAAACTGAGTTAGGGCAGAGCCTTGTTGCCTTCCTGGATAGAGAATACGAGGCTGAACGAAGGATTTCTTTACAGGAGTTGTATTCAAAATATGAAAACTTTTTCATTCCTTAAAAGAACGGTGAGAATGTAGGTGGTTGCACTTGTCGAAGCAACGATCAAAGAAGAATACAAAAAATCGAAATGCTAGATTGGCTGTGACAAACAACTCGCCAAGGAATGCAGAGCGAAACTATGGCTTTGCAAGAAGACAGAACAATACGAGAATTACAGACGGACAGAAGAGCACATGCGCAGCCAAATTCACACCAAGAGTTCAAATAAGCAGTGATAGCACTAAGAAGAAAGGAGGACGAAACCAAAACGTCATATGCACAGTGTGTTGCGAAGGTTGCGAATGCAATGATGGAAGCCAATTCGAACGCATATAGGTGGAAACAAAAGTGAACAGCCATCCAATTAGTTTTCTACTGAACATAGATCAGAAATTACGTTGATCAACGAATCCGGCTTGGAGAAGGATGAGCACTTCTCGGCTGGAGAACACAAATCGGCGAGAACGCCAGTGGAAATCAATGGAAGTCCATTTGAGACTATCTCAGACAATCAAATGCTCTCAGCGGGCAGACACAAAGCCACAGCCAAACCTCACCAAAAGCGCCGTGCCTTATCGCCTCACTGTCGCTTCCCGCTGAGAACCTTGCTAGAATTGACAGCGAGCGGGCTGCTATAGAGTTTTCAACGCGAAGCGAAAGTGGCGGCGATAAGGCAGACCGATAAGTTATTGAAGTTATTATGGTCGCATAATTTGCACAAAGGACGGCCACTATCACCCACATTTTTGAGCAAAAATCTTTGTAAATGATTAGGTGAAACCGGGCAAATTGACTCTACGCAATTATTCCTTTTTGGAGCTGTTTTTGAGTAAAAATAGAATTTTTTTCCCACTTTTTGAGCTTGAATATGGCCTGCGCAATTACTTGCTATGCAAATCCACAACGCAAAAAGTAATCACCGATCCACTTTGGCGGGCCTAAAGTCCCGTAGACCTGTTTGATGCGCAGTTTTCAAAGTTTCCAGCTATTGGATCGGCTTGCGCTTTTGCACATTTTACCTAATGCTAATAGGGCGCCAAAATTTCAGCTAAAGATCGTGACTACAACTCGCTCAATAAATTTCGTGATAGACAGACTTAAAACACACACAGACAAACAGGCAGATGCTCAGCGCTCTATTATAAGTAGTGATTATAATTTGATGCAGCCTGCTTCATGTGAGTTATCTCTGTGGTACCTTTACATACGTGCTAATTTATGTGTGCCAGCTCTAAGCCATATTGTTGCAACAAAATGGAAAGTTTTCCACAACTCGTAGCGTTTTTGGTCCTACCACAAGAAAGGCTACGGGTCGTTATGTTGGTCACTTTAGAAAACTGGTTGCTTTACTGAGGTGAAAACATAACTGAATTAATTTTATTCTTGTAACGGTCACTATCGAACTAATTATTGCATATATCACGGTCGTAATCTGAAACTAGAGCAACCACTACGTTTTCTCCATCCCTCCAAGATTTTCCTTTTTCTCTTCACTCTTGTTTCTCTCCTTTAGTTTTTCCCTCGGTCTTTCTTTGTCCTTCTCTTCATTCTTATCTCTGTCCTTGCTTGTATTGCTAGCCATCCCTTTTTTTGCCCTTCTTTTAGATGAGTTCAATTTCTGCAACAACTTCGGTTCATATCCTGATAGTACGTATATATGTTTCCACGAGCTACTTTTCAACAGTTCAAAAGACTTTTAGAAAAATGCTCACATCTTGTGATTGCTCACTGCTTTTCAATGCTGCATCGCTTTTACTGCAAATAAATTTCTTGTGCAGAATCAGTTTATAGTGTTATTACCTTGTTATTAAAGATGCTGACGATCGAGCTTGGCTGGCATTATTGTGAGGCGTGAGGCTGCTACCCCTGGAAGGTCACGCAAGGCTATAATTTGTCATGCTACTACACTCACTGTCCCTTCTTGCGTTTTTCCTCATATTTTTCGCCTCCCGGAACGTCTTCTGGATGGGGGTCGAATTGTTGTTGGAGATATAACTGTATTGCAAACCAGTTTTAGTTTACTTTGTAAAAATAACATTACCAGCTCGTCGCTTTCAGAACGCTCAAAACTTTCGGTTTTTGGAAAGTTTTTGAATTTGACGCCAAGACGATCACAAACTGAAATTGTTTTTAGTGAGCTGTACATGCATCTCCTCATTTGATGTAGACTGATTGCAGACATCTTGCAAGATCTTCCTGCCCTCTTAACATAATGAGAATACACCGCGAAAAGCATCCAAATGCCAACTTCTGCGACCACAGTACCAAATATTGGGGTTATCAAACGCAGTGTCGCCTGCATCAGCATCTCCACTCCCGTGCGGGACTCTGCATCTTTTCCGCAAATATGCTTTCTGATCACTTTGCCAGGGCGAGCGTGGGAAAGTCGGAGCCTCAATCGCTTGGAAGTGATTGGGAAGCATATTCGCGGAAGAGACGCAGAGTCCAGCACGGGAGTGGAGATGCTGATGCAAGCGACACTGCGCTTGATAACCCTATACCTGTTAGTCAGTGACGTACCGAAGGGGGGGGGGGGGGCGGGGGCGCCACGCACTTTCACCAGAAATAAATTTTTGTTGCCCCCCCCCCGAGCCGAAACCCTGGGTACGGCTGTTAGTGTAGATTGCCTAATCGGATTTTGAGCGTATTGATACCCGCTCTTGATACTCATTTTACGAAATTACAGCCTCAACAATTAGTGTCTGACGCTAAGCCCAGGGATTTTATTATTATGCTGAACTCGATGTTTTATTTATTGACATATGTGTCTGCTTTCTTGATGAAACCTGCAAAAGCAAACAAAAGACGTACACATACAGTAGGCCCCGTTGGAATCAGGTAAACGCAACTTTCGTGGAGCACCGCCGCTGCTACGCATATGCTCCAAAAGAGATCAGCTAGCATTGTGCTATCTAGGAAGAGAGAATGAAGAGAACAAACTTGAGTTTCTAGCGCATACGATGAACTATAGTCGCGATAATGTATACTGCTGCGAGACGGCCGCCCCATCTGAAGTCCTGGCTTGAACTGATTTGACACAAATTGTAAACTTCCCGCTGGGTAAGGACACGCAACTCGAAGGGACATGTTGCATTCTGCTCCAAAGATTTAGATTCCACATTGCTTATCTACAAGAGTTCTCACTGTTTTACTCGAGAGTTTTACTTGTTTTAAGCGGATAAGTAAAGATTAAAGGAACCATTTGTTGTATACGAACTTCGTATAAAATTACAAACCGCTGGGATCACTAATGTTCATTCATTTTAGCGAGACTACTATTCAAGTTGATATCATACAAGCTTCAGTAACTGCTGATTTCAGATCCACCTTTTATTGATGCAAAATGAGGCAAACGTGGTAATATGAATTGAAATACCTATCTATTTACCGTGTTCTATTGCGAAAATCTTCTATGCAATTTGGACTTTGTACATGACCTTATCGCACAAAGGCAGACGAAAGTTGTAACGCTAAGATACAGAACACTGCGAATGTCATGCGATGTCTCGCGCTGCAGCTTTGGACAATGGGGATCTTCCTGCAGTGTGCAATATGATTTTCGAATTCTCGTAATGTGTTTGATAAATCACACATGTTAAAAAGTTACAATACTTGGCAAAGATTCCTGAGCATTTTTTGAGATTAATTCATAGTTTCGATGCAAGACTTATCTGTTATACAATTTTGTATAGGAGTCTAAAGATTATACGGGAAACCTGTGTTTACCTTACTAATAATTCTTTAGTGCAACCATTTTCGGCGTGTTGTTATATGTACTATTTAACTATCATATGAAATCAAAAGAGATAAAGAAACAAAGGATAAGCAGTGGAAATAAGCAGCTCCAAATCAAAATGTTCGTCAAGTAGCGGGCACGGTGTGCAATACGCATAAGTAAAAACGACTCAACGATATGTATCAACTCTGTACAAAATCATCATTTCAGGATAGATGACACAATGTACTTTTTGTGACTTACTAATTTTCAGCAGCTTTCAGACGCTGGCAGTTGGCAAAGGCAGATGCGGGAGGGGGGAGAAGAAGTAAGCCTGCTGACTACAAAAGATGATAGTCTTCAGAATTTCGATTGCCATCATTTTCATCAGTTTTTGCAAACTTCCATCTCCGACGCCAAAAGCTGATACAGGGGCATAAAGAGGGAAGGGAAGTGAGCAAGCAGAGTACAAAAATCTAATGCAAATATTGGGATAGGGACAAGAAATGCTTCGTGGAAGTGAAGCGGAATGGCTAATTCGTCATGACAGATAAGGAGCGGAGCCTGTTGTTTCAGGTAGGTAACGAACCTTGACATACTGTCAATGTAAGCATTCCATCTGAGTCAATTTATCAAAATTGGATTCTGTGTTCGCAAATCGCAAAACGGTGCTTTGCCATCACACCGACAACCTTATGACACACATGATGCTATGCAAGTACAACTGCTTGTAACCTGCATGATTTGTCTCTGCTAAGTTCACCACAAAATTGACGAGCGCCCGAGAAATAAAAAAGCCAGCAGAAATCTTTCCTTGGCTGAGCCCGCAATGACACTCATTTCCTCCATAATTTCTCGTAGGCTACGTCATATGTGTTATAGGTGACACCATTTATCTTAGTATGCGGATTATTAGCTTTATGTGAATAATTAGTTTGTAGTCACACTAGTCTTGACCCGCAGTCAAAAATGCAGGCGGTCGTTAACGCGAGGTGTTACTTCATACGCCAACCTTGTGCAATTTTTTCCTCAACTCCTGGCTCTGTGATTTTACCATCCCAGTCGTAAGGATCTGTTATATTAACGTTTGTCTTCTTGAGCTCATTCAGAAGCTGTAACGCTTTTGTGTAAGCAAACATATTCAAGCTGATCTGCACAAGAAAAATGACATTCAGAGAAACAGCTAAGTAACCAAAAGACTCACTAGATTGAAGATCATCTGGTAATCTGGCCTGTCAAAGTAGCTCAGTGTTTGAAAGTGCTTCATGATTGGCAGAAAGATGAGGGAAGTTCTTTAATATACATAAACTTTATTCGAAGTGACCATAGGGCAAGTTAAGCTTACCCCGTTTTGCACAATTTCTCAATAGATGTTTCTTCCTTTACACCTAAAACTGTTTCTGGATGCGTCAGGTGGGCCCACGGTAAAGGATCTCGCAGCTCTACTATCATGTAGGACCAAGACCACAAGTCATCTACGCGGCCCTGCAATAATGCACTTGCTTCAGTTTTCAAAATGATTTTCTGAGCACTTCTGACCTGCTCAAGACGTTTATGCACAGCAAGAGAGCAATACCGAAGCGTGCCTCGAAATGACACCTGAGGAAAGTTTTGAACGAAATCACGCATGCTCAACAAGATGACGGATAAGTCCGCTTACTCTGTTCCTCCTCCTTTTTATGAGCCATTCATTCTTTTCATTTCTATAGGCATACTTTCTTGTCATACCTAAACATAAACTTTCATGGGTTGTACTGCCGTACATAAGGATACATAAAGTGGAGCACGACATCGCTCAGAAGGCTGTGAGCGAAACGCGCGCAAGGGCGGCTGTAGGCGGCTGCCGAGCATTACTGCTATGATGACTCATGCGCAAAGACGCTAAACGCAGCTCGCAAGCCACTTCGGCAGCCGCGCGCTCCTTACGCCGCGGGCATTTCTTCTGAGCGATTTCATACAAGCGATGTACCAAAGTCAAAGACATGAATGATTCTTGGTTGGGAAGTCGACACCGCAAAGTTGCACGGTTTCACGTCACGATGGATGAAACCAATCTCATGAAGCTGCAAAGCGAAAGATGAGCTTTAGAGATCGATATAGGGATTCTGAATGTGCGTAATCAATGCGAGTTTGTGACTTTACTCGGCTTTAATTTTCCCTTGTAGATTATAATTAAAATCCATTGGTATCATTAACATACATACTGTGTACAATTACATTCGCCCATATTCACCTCTTAAAGATTTACTCCATGAGATCATGAGCATGTCACAAACATGTTCGAGGAATGACGTCCTATCTGTTTGAACTACTTTTTGAAATTCTACCAAAAGTAAATAAAGAGACGTTTGATTGTCCAGAGATATAACCTCACAAGTGATTGTTGATTAGGCCTGGTTTTCTTTTGCAGTAATGGGTACACGCCAGAGAAGGACATAGAATTGAAACCACCGAAATTACAGTAAAACGAAACGGCTTTCTACAGTCGATTCATTTCATATGATCATGTGTGTCACTGCACACCCCGTCCAACTTTGGCGTCCCCATCCTGGAATTGCAGTCGCAAACACGCAAGATTTTGGACAATTCTTATCTCTTACGTCACTTTGAGGTGATTACTATCTAAAAAGGAAGGAAAACATTGAGAATATATCAAAAACACTCAGCTGAAGGGTTGTCTCCTCCAAAAATCCTGGATGGGAACGCCAAAGGTGAACAGTGTGTGCAGTGACACACATGATCATATGAAATGAATCGACTATACACTAACAAGGGAAGTACTATCAATGGCCGTAGCCTTTTGATATTAGATGCATATCATCTGAAGCAACTTCGAACGCTGATTTCAAATCTGCTTTCCGTTTCTGCGGAACAGTCTTCTGAAGAGAGTTATGGAAGCCTGAACATTCCATTTTGAGGGCGCCCCTTGAGTTTGAGGGCGCTGCTATGTGCATTGGTGGTCCAGTAATGTAGTGGTTAGTTGCTGACATTGAAGATGAAAGGTCAGTGGTTCAAATACTGTGCAGAGCGAACTATTTTGCTTATTGAGTGTGAGTTTGAAAGCACTCTAAATCGCTGCAGACACTTACTGTAATACCTTTGGCATAAGTGACCTAGAAAAACAATTTTCTGGCAAAACTGCTTGTAATGAGAGCCTGAAATTCTATTTGATTTCCTTACTAGTAAAACAGGAACGAACATGGCGTAGCACGTTTGTCACCATATAAACCTCAAAAAATGCACACTGTCATTAGTCGAAAATATGTTCTCTCCTGTTTGTGCTAAGGCATTACAGTAAGTGTCTGCAGACGATTTAGAGTGCTTTTAAACTCATATTCAATATGCAAAATGGCTCGCTCTCTACCGGATTTGAACCACTGACCTTTCATCTTCAATGTCAGCAACTAACCACTACATTACTGCACCACCAACGCACATAGCAACAAAGCCATAGCCATATAGCCCTCAAGCTCAAGGGGCGCCCCCAAATGTTCAGGCTTCCATAACTCTCTTCAGATGAGCGTTCCGCAGAAACGGAAGGCAGATTTCAAATCAGCGTTCAAAGCTGCTTCAGATGATATGCATCTCATATCAAACAGCCACGATTGAAAGTACTTCCCTCGTAAGTTACGAGTGCGCGTTCTCGCAAACATTCATGACATGTCATGCCAAACGATTCACTGTTACAAGCAAGACTTGGCATGGATGGCACATGGGCAAAACTGAATTTCATTTTTCCCACTACTTATTTGAAGGAACAACTCGCTCGCAAGATACGATAAATGTGACAAATAATAAGTTCCCCACTTCCTCCCGACGAGTTAGCTGAGATGGTTTAAAGAGAACAAAGGCATAATTCTTCATAATTCTTCTGCATTACCACAAAATTTTCGATCAATTCGCAAAACCTTCATCTATATCTCAAATTTTAGCTTAGTTCGGAACTATTCCAAGCCTTTCCTTCCGCTTAGCTACAGCCTCAAGTATTCTGAATGGTGGCTCAAAACCTTCCAAATGCGCGTTAAAGCGCGTCAAGGATAGCATACCGTCAAAACGAGATTACAAACAACCCCAATGTTGTTTCACGTGTAATTCTTGTTCTTTTGTTTTCTCTCTCTAAACGATGAAATTTTTTGCGAAAAGTCATGGGGCTTCTTTTATAAGAATTTCTGACATTTCGCCCGAGAGTCTTTAATTTGACTTCTAGAGAAGTTGGGAAGAATGCTAAGCAAAAAAAGCAAAAAAAGCAAAGTCAATGGACAACTCTTTCTCGGTCCAGTATTCATTTTTGCACACTCAACGGATGTCTTCTTTGGAATGCGTCATACTTGATCCACTCAATCCGCTTGATCCACATCATCCACCTCGCTATAGGTTAGACTAGTGAAGTGACTCATAGCGACGCGAATGTCCACTTGATCTGCTTGATCCATTTCATCCACTTCACCACTGCTCGGTTCACTAATTACCCATAACAAGAGGATGAAGTGGGTGAAGCGGATTAGATCAAAAATAGTGTGTGCCTTTTTGCTTGAAAACGCTTGCCTAACCAGGGTCATTCAAATACTTTTAAAGTCTTCTATCAAAAAGGCGCGTTTCTTGCAGCTTAATTACTATGGTTTTGATCGTTATTATCCCAACTGCAACGGAAATTCTCAGAATTGCAGAGTTTGTAATTTTGTTATGAGGTTTCGAAGCATCTCAACAACACTGAACATTGAACTATAGAGTGACTGATACTGACATACAATGCACAAATTCAGGCTGAAAAAAGAAGTGGGCAATATCGTGAAAAAAGATTTAGGTTAACGCAATGTCCACTTTACGATCTAATGCTACATTGTGAGTAAAGTTTGTCTACGCAGAAATTCTGACGCGCACGTTGTGAAGAAAATTATCCAGAGGTGGCTGCTGCTTGGCTTTGTCAGACCTGACGCACATTGGTCAAAGATGTCATGTTGGAGACGAATTGTTTCATAACACGTGCTCATGAAGAGAGCCTTTTACTCTATATTATATATTATAATAACGGGCTAAGGATGTTTACGTGACTTTGTGTGTGTGTGTGTCTGTCTGTTACGAAATTCGTGGAGCGTGTTCCAGCCAACGTTCTAAGCCCAAATTTTGTATAGCGCATGCTACCTTCGTGAAAGTCCAACATGCAAAAGCACGAGTAGATTCGTTGAGTGGATCCCTCAGAATTTGCGCGCAAACGGGTCCACCTGGCTTCTGTACCGCAAAAGTCGGTCCGTATCACCACTTTTTGCAGAGTCGTGGATGAGTTTGGTAAGCAAATGTGCAAGCGATGGAGTTTAGCCAGAAAAGTGGTCGAAAGTTTACTACATAACGAAAACGGCGCCATAACGAATTGGTTGTGTAAATGGTCAATTTGCCAAGGTTCTAGCTAAGCGTTTGAGAAGATTTTCGCACAGAGATGTAGCTCACGGTTATCTTTACCTTTATGGCGACTACCAAGTCATGACAAACCCAAAAACCTATTCAAATTTGCGTTTGTCTTCCTGCGAAACGTTTCATCCACTCGAAATCACCGATCTCACGTGAAAAGATTTTCTAAATGAGTGGTTGTTTACATTTTATTCGTGGTAGTCGGCATAGTGCGGTGAGTTCCACTGCCACGATTTTACGAGAATGAATAAGGCACATAGATAGTAGAGCCAGTGCGAACCTCTGCGAAGCAGAGGTGACGCACTGGTATTATATACGCTCATTGCAAAAATTCTGCAATGCTTTCTTGGAAAACGTGTTCTGGTGCAGATATTCTCTTTGCAATGTAAAGTAAATACACTACCTGTTTCAAAGCTAATAGGGTACGAATCCCTAATCGAATAAGAGTTCCATCAGACAGCGTACCAACCAATGTGCAAATTCGAGTCAGATCGGCTCCACACATTGTCATTACAATATATCTGAATTTTTGTAAGGGTGATTTCTCAAACAACGTCTTATGCGAGACGCACGAGTAAGTGTCAGTAGTACCCATCGAAATCAACTGAATGGTGTCTTTGATTCCTTTGAAACCTTGAAGAACATTTTTCTCCATTTTCAATACACGCTCAGATTGTGCCTTACTTTCTGCCTGGAGTCATCGTCTTTTTTTTTTGTTTCTACTTCTAAACACATCCTTTACCTTCAAGGCGGCTTGGGTTCCGTTCTTGATATTGATGACGTGATAAACGTGACCATAAGCACCTTTTCCGAGAGAGCGTACGACTCCCCACGTATCTCTTATCAACTAAAATGTAAGTAGCTATGCGTGCATTCATAAACCATCCTTTCCCCTTTAATTAGAGCACACTACTTCGGCATGATATCGCTTGTCTGCACTCTTCACCTCAATGACGATGTCCTTGCAGGATGGCAGGATGGTATGACTGTTTGTGAAGACTCCGTTGAGCTTACAAATGACTTCAAAAGCAGTGCTCAGGCAGACCTGGCATGAGGAACGCGCGCAGAAACTGTTAAGAGCCTAAAACAAAGACGCTGCTCAAGCAGCCGCGCAGATAGTGCAAATGCCGCTGAGATGTTCACTCTCAAACCAAACCTCGCTACACTTGGCGAACGACTTGCATCTGGTTTTATTGCGTGGGGACCCACCGCTCTCGCGATTTCCACGCGCAAATCACTGCACGCCGGTACTTTGAAGGAACGCCAATAATCGGCCGCGCAACTGGGGGGAGGGGCTGAGTTGTGCCCCAGTGCAAATCGATTGGAGCACATTATTTTCTCGATCCGCGCGCGTAGCAAGCGAAGTGAAGATGGCTCCGATAGGACATCGCCTTTGCTTTTACACCACATAAGATTTCTGGTACCATCTCAGTTACTGACTATAGTCAGTAGCTAAAGAAGTTTTCTGACAAGTTTACAGCTTGCCGAGCTTGAGCGAAACATGACAATTTGCACTTTTTGAGTTTGTGGTGGTATTAACGTTGAGAAGTTCCTTTGGAGCTAGCTTCTTCTCTACATAAATTTTACGGGTATCGCGAAAAATTTCCACACCAACCTCTTCGCTTATCAACACCCGTGCCGAGGCTCTTTGCTCCCATTGAAGAAGATAGTTAGAACCGAATCTTCGTGTTCGACTGATTTATTCGAAATACCCGCCTATTGATTATTGAATAGTCGAATAAATGAGAAAGGCCTGTTTTCGAATAGTTCGTTTGACGATTAGGAAAAATGAGTTATTCGAATATTCGTACATTCGAGGAGCTTTGAAAGACAGTTATTCGAATTTCGATTATATGAGCCAACTTGAAGGGCAGTTATTTGAATCTGTATAAATAAAACTCAATCTCTGTAAATTCGCTCGTATGTAAGTATGTGGCTTATAGACTCCTTTGTTTGTGAACCGAAGAAGCTGAAATTTGCTCCCCCATAAACGAGGCCAGGCGCAGAAGATAGGCTACTTTTTGCGACGGTTCACTGAGCCCTTCAATTGATTCATTCATTTGTTTACTTACATCGAGGGTTCACCAATCATTGTTGATTTGTTTACTTACATCGAGGGTTCACCAATCATTGTTGAATCATTTCCCCATAGTCATGTAAGTTGGGCGGTGAAGTTCATTTACATTTTTTGGCAACAAGGATTTGATGTTTCACGTCAGCAAGGAATACATCACATTTCGTGGCATTATGGAGAAGGGCGGTAAGTTTCAACGCGTTTGGGGTTGAGTTGCCCAATTCGCGGGCGGGACTGGGGGCGCCATCTAGAGTTAAGATGTTGCAAAGAGGAATAATACCTTCAGTAGGCGTGTAGGTTGAACAATAATTATTTTGAACCTGAGTATAAGGTGTGGAAGATCCTTCACAAAAGTACAAACCTCAGAAATACAGCTAAAACAATTTTCTGAAAATTCAGTCCCACAACAGAAACTGTGTCATTCCGATTGGTAATTTTCGAACAAGTATTAGATTAGCAGTTAATACACAGTTATTTCTATGACTTTCTTTTTTCTGGATTTAGATGCGCGCAAAAGTATGTGGACAGCAGTGCGTCACTTATGCTGCAGAGGTTCTGATTCTATTACGTAGGCGTTTCTCATACTCTCCCCGTGCTAGTCTTACAAGGGAAGAATAAATACTAGGTCGGAGTGGCGTTTTCGAATGAAATATCTAACATCTTATAGAGCATGATACGCAAATTGGAATCTGCCTTCTACATCTGCAAAGCGCTTCCGGGAGGGCTATAGGGATTTTTTGAAGTTGAAATATAGACTCGCGGCTACAATAAAATCATTCAAAACTGTAGCCTGTGAATTCGAATGAGGTCATAATCACTGTCAGGACGCTATATGCAATTCATGTCTTCAGTCTAGTAAACTCATGCTAAATATTACCCTTTCAAGCGCCAGGAAGATCTCATTGTTTTCACCTTAGCCAAGCTCTTGAATCTATGATACAAATTTTCATACTCTGCTCTCAAAAGAGCTCTGCAGGCATCAAAAACAGATTTGGAATTGACTTTCCATGCTCTATTGAACAGGTTCCATTTCATATCAAAACGCCACTTCCACCATGTATCCTTCCCTTTTTAAAACTCACGCAATGCTGGTCATCAAGAATAAATTACAAATTACCACCTATTCCAAAAGGTTTTCCAAGTTAAATCTGTAACTTTGGGAAGATGTTCTGTATGGCTTTGGGAGAAACTCCTGTGAGGAAGATTAAAGGCGTAGCCGTTTAAAGGACAATGAGCACCTTGAATCACACGTTTGGGTATGTTTCTTCTGTTTCCTAGGTAGACCCTGACCAAGCGACAATAACCCACTCATCCTTACCACTTGCTACGCATATAATCATCAGCTACAAATCTAGATCAAATATAGCGATTAATTTTTTTTCACTAAATTGCAGCAAAGTAAAAACCGTCAATGTTTGAGCCACTAGATTATTCGAATTATTCGAGTAGTCGAATATTCTACCATATGTAATTATTCGATTATTCGAATAATCGAATTTTCAAAACACCACATTTATTCGAATATCCGTTCGTTCGAATTTTGAAATGTAGCATTTTCCGAATTTCCAAATTTGAATACTGACAATCACAGTTCGAATAATATTCGTTCGTTCGAATATTTTTTAAAAGTCGATTATTCGATATTCATTCGTTCGACGAAATTTTTCGGTCGTTTTAGCTATAAGAAGTACCATCACGAATTCTACTTGCTGAAGTGCGCACGGCGATTCAAACCATGAAGACGTTCACGGCTCCAGAACCAGACCATCTTTCTGTCGAATTTCTGCGAGCCGGAGAACAACGTCTTTGGTTTGGTGAAGTATTCTTTTATTCACGAGACACGAGGACACGTCTCGCACCGCACCCAGCATCTTAGCTTCAGATGGAGAGGATTCCCGACCAGTGGAAAACGTCAAGAACCGTCGTTCTCTTCAAGAAGGATGAACGGGAGGATCTCCGGAACTACCGTCCAATATGCCTGCTGAGTGTGTTGTATGAGCTTTTCACAAAGATTATCCTCGCTCGCATATCTAGCGCACTGGATAAAGCCCAACCCCAAGAACAAGCTGCATTTCGCAAAGGATTCAGCTGCATGGACCACATCCAAACGTTTCGAGGATCATAGAAGTCTACCGGGAGTACAGACTGCCTCTCGTCCTAGCCTTCGTCGACTACGAGAAAGCCTTTGACAACGTCGAAACCAACGCCATCCTGTCAGCGCTAGTCGAACAAATAGTGGATCCAGCTAACGTGAGGACGTTAACCCGACTGCTACAAAAACTGTACAACGACGATGCAGCTATTTCATCGCCCCCTGACCATCCCAATTGGAAAATGGGTCCGACAAGGCGACACAATCTCGCCGAGGCTGTTCACCGCGGCCTTGCAGTGGGTGATGAAGTCACTGGACTGGGAAGAGAGACATAAGAGTTGATGGGAAATTCCGATCCAACCTTCGTTCTGCGGATGACATCATTCTCTTCTCGAGCAGTATCTCTGAAGCAGAGATGATGCTGAATGAACTAAAAAAGTAGGGAAGAAGATTGGGTTGCGAATAAATCTGAAGAAGACTCAGTTCATGAAAAACGCCGTCTGCGAAAAAGCAGAATCGAATTGGAAGGCATCTGTCATGGAGACGTCTTCTTACGTGTATAGGGGCCTGCAGGATCGCGAGAGTTGGACGTGCGTACGGCCATTGCGCCGCGCACGTCAGATGTGCGTCCGGCGACTCAGCTCGGTGCCATACTTATCCTGTTGAACAGGTTCATTCACTTCGCCACCTTTGCTGTAGTGTAGTGATTGACAGTGTAGTGATTTGAGCTATGAACCGAGAGAACTAGCTAAAGCGGATAAGTCTGGTACTTGCCTTAGTGACATCGGACCTGCTCGGCGCAGTGGCCGTACGTACGTCCAACTCTCGCCTCGGACGTTCGATGAACATGGAGAACGACTTGAGGAAAGGACTTAATAGTGGCCGTATTTATCAACAAACTCAGTGGGTTCCAGAACCCATTGGGTAGGCTTATCCGCAAAATCGGTATTCACGAAACTAGTGCGTTCCGGAACCCAATGGGCTGAGCCTACCCAATGGGTTCCGGAACCCACAAAAACCCACTTAACCGGTACTCACAAACGAACCCAGTGTGTTCGTGAGTTCAAAAGTCAAGCATACCGGTATTCACGAAACAAGTTACCCAGTTCTCGTGCATTCCGCAACCCACTGAGCGCTGGGTTGGCGAAACCAAGTACGGTGCGAATTCCTTAGTGGCATACATGCGAACCCAGTCCCTTTGCTGAATATTATGGAGACTTTAATTAGCAGGGGTGTTATTACCAGTAAACTTATGCGTTAGAAACCCTTCCTATATTCTTCATAACTGAAAGGAATTTGTTAGATTATTTTTGATTAAACTTGATGCCGGTCACAATTTGGCAGTCTCTGAAAAGTCGCAACAAGCTTTTTCGGAGATTTTTTTGCGTCAAATTATGAAGAGCCTAAGCACTTCAGATGTTTGCTCAAGCTATCTTAGAATTTTTCTGATGTTGCTGTGACTACAGAGGGAGCCTCATTAGGAAGCAGAGCGTCTGCCTGCAATGTTTATGTATTTGGTTGTCTATTGTCTATGTTTGTCTATACTGGTTTATTCCTCAAATTAAAAAAATCTTGCCCTCATTCCGATCAAGTCAGCGACAACGACTAAAAAAAGAAAAAAGGCGGTTTTAATCAGAATCGTTTGTTCCTTGACTGTGGAGTAAAAATAAATGGGAAGAGAACAAGTATTAATTATGGTAATTACCTATTAGTTTACATCACAGAGATTAGAACTGTATCGATGATCTCTTTGCACATTCCAGTCTGAGGAAAACGTACTCCCCCTACCATTAGGGCGTCCTCGCACAAGAAATACAAATGGACAAAGACTTGAGTACTCCCTGCGAATATGCGCCTTGTCACTGATGAAACACCCGTTTGAAAGTAGGAGTTCGAAAAAAGGCGCAGATCTACTGGTGTGTATAGAAAAAACATCTACGAAACAGACTTAGCTATTCCTTGCACCATAACAATTGTTGGAACTATGCGGATTCGCGGATATCAGTTATGCCGTGCAATCTTCGAAAACTGTGGCTGATATCTTCCTTATGAGGTAAATACAACTCTGAATAAGAAAGGTCAGTAGAACAAAAAAGGAGTGTAGCCCTCTTTCTGCATCCACCTCCACGTATATCATTGTCGACAGTCATGTCGGGGTCCGAAAGAATACTCGAATAAAATACAGAATAAGGGAAGTGCAAGTTTTGTCGCACAAGAGGCAATGATTCATGTCATCCATCCCATAAGAGTTTCCAAAAGCGCGTCAAGCGTGCTGACGCTTTGAGTTTAGCGCGTGCGTGGGAAAATGAGGAAAATAGTACACCGACTAGAGGAGGCACATTGGTGACATGGGTTGGCCAACCCAGCGGGGCACTTGTGAATACCGATTTTACCCAGTGGGCTCGCGAACCCAATGGGTTCCGGAATCCGCTGGGTTCGTTGATGAATACGGCCCCAGGAGAAGAAGAGCAGCCGGCCGCCTTCGGGCCTCTAAAGGAAGCCACTACCAACTGACGGACCCAGAGCTTCGTGCCCACCTGTTCGACTCAACCGTTCTCCCGGCGCTATTTTATGCAGCTGAGACTTGGGCCGACACTGTAGCCACGTCGAAAACTCCACGAACCACCCATAGGGCGCTAAGCGCAGTCTTCTAAAGATGAGCCGACACAAGCAACATCTTGTCGGACTTCGCAGCACAAATTTGAGAAGAATGTCCCGTCTTTGTGACTCAGCGGAACACTGTTGCGAAAGCGAAACATCGACGGGCCGGTTACATCATGAGAACAACAGATGAGGATGGACACTAAGAACATCGGAGTGGATTCCTCGCAAAGTGAAACTTCACCGAGGAACACCTCCAACGAAATGGGCAGACATGTTCGTGGAGCGTATGGACCAACTGAGAAAACAGCTGTATACGAATTTCGCCCTTGGAACTCGTGGGGCGCCGCCACAGACGACAACCAAGAAGATCGTGGATATTCAAAGCGAGGAACAGGGATCAATGTCAACTTCTGTACTGGGGTCCGCACATCACGTGAAGTATCTAACCATAAGTGTTAAGTCATCCAAACAGCGACAACAATGACAGCAGTGGTATGACAACTCCCTAATGATGACATTCTTGATATATGTCTGAGCTCTCAATATGTCATCCTCAAAAGGAATGGTTCAGCGAACTTCACTGCTATGGCAGCTTCATGCCCTAGTGTACGCATACTCTCAGAGGGAGGATTATGAATCTGCGCACAATAGGCTTATGGCGCAAAATTACTATCAAAAGTGACACTGATGCACTCACCGTGCCTTCCTCCAATTCAACAAAGTCTTCTAACAACTCCTCTTCGTCACTCATAACTATAAAATTAACCAGAACCACTTGCAGCTTTGACATGATCGCTTATCAACTGTTTGCATCTTTGCTCACTTCATTTGCAAACACCCTTGAGCTGAGTGGGTCCGATTAGCTACAGCTGTTAAGCCTGTCTATGAAAACAATACATTTTCTGGAATACCGAGTTCTGACAGGATGGCCAGCACCAACTATTTTTTTGCCACGAGAAAGCCACAACAAAACGGGGATATGTTTATGTTTATGTTTATTAAGCTAAATAGAAGGATAAAATGAAAGACAAAGAAACAGTAACAGCAGGGTGGGCTGAGACAGAAGGAAAACAAAACACTAACAAAGAAAACACAGCAAGACAATGATAATTAAGTCATTAACATACCACACGAATAGAAAATCAATCAAATGGGAACAAAAACGAGATAGAAGAGGAGTATTTTAACAGCTTGCGATCCAAAGCTTTCCAGGGCATCGGCATGCGACAAATAAAGCTTCGTTCATAGGAAGTAAGGCTCTTTAACCTTCAATAGGTGGCCTCTCGTCGCATTTTTACTTCCTGTACTTACTGTGGTTCCTCAAAAATATCGAAAAGCTTGAGATGAAGTTTTCTTGTAGTAAGCTTATAAATGAAAGCAAAGTCAGCCAGAGTCCCTCTGTCCTCTAGAGTCAGTGTCTGTAGTTGTTTGATTCTGCCAAGATATGACAGTTCAAAGTTGCCTCTTCTAGCAAAAATTCTATAGGTAAAGGACCTCTGGACTTTTTCTATGTCTTCAATCTGTGCTTTACTCTGAGGAAACCATAATAGTGAGCAGTATTAAAGTAAAGGTCTTACATATCTAGTAAATAATCTGAACAAAAGTATGGGATTACGAGTGTTGAATGCTTTAAGTATGTAGTTTGATCGACATTTGGCTTTTGAAATAATTTTAGAGATGTAGCCACGGAAATCCAGATTGTCGGTATATGTAACACCCAAGCCCCCAACTGAATGGGTATGGCGTAAGATGCATCCATCTAGCATGAACTCAAGTGCAGGGTGGCTTTTACCAAAGGCCATGACACATGCTTTTTCTTCAAAAATCTTTAGCTGCCAAATAGATGACCACGAAGCGAGAGCGTTTATGGCTTCTTGTAAGAGAGGCGCATCACTGATGGAGTGAATTTTGGAGTCATCAGCATAAAGCGAGCAGAAAGTGCCAGCCGGAAGAGCGCTTGAGAGGTCATCTATGTATATGAGAAATGACAAGGGGCCAAGGACTGATCCTTGAGGCACACCGCTGGTGGTGCTGTAGACTCGGGAACGAACGTTGTTGATGACCGATTGGCGTCTACCACTGAGAAAGGAGTTCAAAAAGTTAAGCAATGAGCCCTGTATGCCAAAGGCATGAACTTTAGTCAAAAGTAAGGGTACAGAAATCGAATCAAAGGCTTTGCTATAATCAACAAAGCATACGGAGACATATCGGATCATTTTGGATAAGGAATTTGGTTACACCCTCACAAGTATTCTCTCCATAACCTTATATGTTGAACAAGTAAGGCAAATCGGACGGTAATTGTCTACTGCCATTTTGAGACCTTTCTTGTAGATGGGCCTAACAAGTCCCAGCTTCCAAATTTCAGGAACTTCACCTCGCAAGAAGAACCTATTGAACATTATGGTAAGCGGTGTAGCTAATCCCTGAGCAGCGTTTTTCAAGAATATATAAGGTATTCCATCTGGAGAGGTGGAGTTTCTATTTGGCAACCTGGTTTTCGATAAACCACATCTACAGTGATAACGACCCAGTCAAGTGTTTCTTTATTCTTGCGGGTTAATGTAACCGAAGGGGAAGGGTAACTTTTATAAACTTTCTCAAAATAGTCCGCAAAATTTGCTTTTTGCAGGTCATCACGCACAATATTGTTGTTTTCTTGGAGATTGGAAATATTAGTTTCTCATCACAATATCTATAGAAGGCCCTACTATTTCTCGACCTGGCAAACTTTTCTTCACAAGCGCTTCTCCAGCGAGCCCATGCACGTTTTAGCCTATAGGTAAGTGAGGTATACCTATGCGCGCCTAAAATGGCCCGGAGGCGATAGAAACGAGCCACTCTCCTACGTATGAACAACTTATCAAGTACAATGGCATGTCTGCTTTGCTCCCTACGAGGTGGTACATACTTCTCAATATAGATGACAGATGGAAGCAAATTAACCGTAATATTTCATCTGGATCGGTGCAGCATTGTAAGATCTGATACCAGTTGAACGAACTGAGTTCACGCATAATGTCAGCGTAATTTGCTTTACGATAATCGAGGTAGTTCCCTTTGGACTCAATATCAAAGCAATCTTTTGCAAAGTCCAGGCATATCATGTTGCGATCTGAGGTGCTAAACGGAGGTAGCACATCGACTCCGTTGATAGTAAACAGATGCGTCATCAACCAAAACCAGGTCAAGAATTTTGAGCCCATGGGTAGGGGATGCTACAAGTTGAGAAAGGCCGTGAGCTAAACAAAAACCAAGGAATTTTGCAGCGGGAGTTGTAGGAATATTGTCTCTGGTAGTCATGTTATCCCAATCTATCAGTGGGAGATCAATATACCCCAAAGAATAAATCCAAGGTTTCGTTCAAGATAGAAGTCATTGAGAAACCTGAGTAAATTGGAGAAAGCAACTAAGCTGCATAAAGGACTTCTGTAAGCAACAATATAGAAGTCGCGCCTTGCAATGGTAATTAGAGTGATGAGGCACTTGCAAAATTCACTGAAATTTCTTGCCTCTAAACGAATGCTTCACACACGACGCAAAGTCGTGTGTGAAGCATTCAGTAGCTACCCCGCCACCCGAACGATTTCCTTCACGATCACAACGATAAACACAATACTCATTAGTATGAGCAAGGGTACCGTCATGTAAAGAGAAGGCTTACACCAAGTTTCGATGATGACTACACAAAATGGATGATTACTGAGAAGAATTTCCAAATCGGCATGTTTATTGACAATAGAACGGGCATCAAGTAAAAGAAGGCGACCTGATAAAAAGAGAGAATTAGAAGAAGAGGTATGTGGGCTAGCCATGGCACCCACTACCGTATCCTAGCAATCCTGGTGATCCATTGTCCCATGGTTCTAGGTGTGCCGGCCATTGATTGACTTCGATTTGATGGAAGGTAATCATGATCAGCCGAGAATTAACCTGACTGCAAATTTGGGGAACTGCAAGGACTGTGGTTTTCCCCCGATTGCTCGAAAGTGCTGTTAACGTTGACGGGGCTTAACCATTCGCGTGGATTTTTAAGCTTGTAGAGACGTAAATCACGCACTACGTATAGAAGCTTGCCTTCTTGACGGTTGAGAAGTCCAGCTCTTCTTCGCGAGACCCTATCAAACTCAAGCTCTTCACGGGTGTAGTCCTTTCGCGCATAAGAATGAACAAACTGCTTAGTCAACGAAAGGCTAGCCCTTTTCATATTGATCGAGAAGGGTGCCCCTTATCTGGGTACTTGCGGTCGTAATCTTGATTATTCTGAGGTGAGAAGTTTTCCTTGTGCGTACCTCTGGAAAGCGGCGGACATCGATTCTGTGGTTGTTCCATTCCGATAACAGTTCATCATCGCCGGACGCGTCGATCACTTCCTTGATTGCTTCCTTGTTGAATGCGGCGGTCGCTTCGGGGGGTGGTTTTCTCATCGATCCCAATCCATGTTATCCTGCAGGCCTTTTCTTGAACGATTCGAGAGTCTGCATTGTATTTTACGAGAGCGCTGTAAACGGCATCACTCATTGTTTTTTACGAGAAGGAACGCACACGCCTATATCTCGCATGGAATTGAGTAAAGTCTGTTGCGTTTCTTGCATTTTGACCAAAAGATCGAAAACGCGGTCAAACCTCTCAAAGTAAGCGTCCCACTTCTTCATCGTCTTCTTAAGCCAAGCTTGGCATAGCGGTGTCCTCAGTTCTTTCCTTGCTTCTTTTCGGCGGCATCGGAGCAGGTACGAGGAGGCGCGGAGGTGGGGGGGGGGCAAACGAGGAACGGCGGTGGTGGCGTTAGAGGGGTGAGCCGACGGGAGGCAGCCTCGATTGATCACGATTGGGCAGGCGAGGGAAGGTTCGGATGTGAAACTTGCAGTTGAGTCGAGTGACAGCGGCAGACGGAGTTAAAAAGCCACGTGATGAGGATCCGGATGTTAGGCCTTAAGCACAGACTGAGGCCAACGAGGTGGATGGGGGCAGGTGGAAATCGAAGAGGGAGGAAGGTGGAGGCCGAGGAAGGCAATTGTAGCACGGCGCGGTCAATGCAAGAACCGGCGGTCAAAGCAAGAACCGGCGGTCAATGCAAGAACCGGCGGTCAAAGCAAGAACCGGCGGTCAATGCAAGAACCGGCGGTCAATGCAAGAGCTGGCGGTCAATGCAAGAACCGGCGGTCAATGCAAGAACCGGCGGTCAATGCAAGTACCGGCGGTCAATGTATGAAGTTTGGAGTTTAGCAGATAGTAATTCGACTAGTTCCAAAAACACACTTCAATCCTACCGCAAGTGCCCTTCGAAAAATCTAGCATGTCCATCGGACGTCCCAGAGAAGCAGGGACCATATACCCTTAAATTCGCTTAGCAACTTCATCCACTTCACTGAGTGGTCACACTTCTGACCTTACCGATGCCCGATTAGCAAAGTAAATGAAGCTTCTAAGCAGTAAGTTATTCTAATGATCTAGATTTGTGCGTTGAGATGATTGTAATTAGCAGAAAAGTACTTCATGCCTGCGCTTGCTATACCTTCGTCATTGGTCAATTCAGTGAGCTGACCAATAGCGAGCGGCGTCCACTTGATCCGCTCCGTCCGCTTTACCCCTTCACTGGACTGCAGAGCGTTACGTCGCCGATAGGCCTAAGGCATACCTCACGCGATTCTAGTCGCTGCGCGATTTGCTATCGTCGATTAGTTGACAGCACGGACTGCTCAAACGCTGCACACCACGTGCGGAGCGGGTGACTTGTCGCGATAGCACGAATTGTACAGCGGCGAATTTGTACTGGGACAAGCGTTTTACCTCGCGACGCGTGCTCCGCAGTGATCCGCAGTGATGTTCCGTCCTTGCGGTCAACAAATCGACTATACCGGAACGACTGTTTATGATTGGTCGTCAGAGCGCTTTGTTATAGGTAGTGTCCCGGCAGATTCGCCCCCTGGGGGATATTGCTTTGGTGGGATTCTTGGTCATCCCACAGACCTCCAGGTGCAGTCCGGCTGCTTGATGTTCCCCCTGGGCCGAATCCCTTAAACCGGCGTGCGCAATCGGCGCGCGCTCGGACGACTTAGCTTGTCGTTCGACGCGGGACCCCACGGCCGCTCTCCCGCATTGTGCATGCTATCCAAAGCAAAAACTACAGGGGTGGGGGAACGAAAGCCGCCAGGTCCAACCGCCTTTCGCGGCCAGCTGGTCCTTTCGCAGCGTTGTTGCATGTCGTTCCAGGACCAGCAGTCCGCGGAGGCGGCTGGACCTGGCGGCTTTCGTTCCCCCACCCAAAGTACAGGCATCAGGATCTTCGTGCCGGGGCCTTCCAACTTTCCATTGAAATCTCGTCCGAGCTGCCTTTTGGAAATTGGATAAACGCCTCGAAAAAGATCTTTTCACCCGTTTTAAAGTCAGATTCGGGGTCTACGGGTTGAAAAGGCCCGAAACATGCGAAAAGATGGAAATGAAAAATTGCCGGGGCACTGCCTTTGAAGGCAGCGTCCGGCAAGATTTCGGATGGAATTTTTTCCGCTTACCTGGGCTTATTCTTCCCGCTGATTCCGAATATGCAGCTCGGAGAGCACGAAAACGTCGAAAACGGGCTTTTCCAGAAGCTCTTAATTTGGATTTTGTCGCCTGCCGCCAAGGTTAAGACGCAGAGTCTTTGTGGGACCCTACGTCTTGACTGTGTGTGGTATGCGCACTCTGGCTTATCGAACTAACTCATCCCTGGCCGGGGCATTCTGGTCGCCACTTCTGAAGCGGTTTTCTCGCTTCAGAAACAAATTAGTTCATTGCCAGTTGGGCAAGAGCTTGGGTGGGGGAACGAAAGCCGCCAGGTCCAGCCGCCTTTCGCGGCCAGCTGGTCCTTTCGCAGCGTTGTTGCATGTCGTTCCAGGACCAGCAGTCCGCGGAGGCGGCTGGACCTGGCGGCTTTCGTTCCCCCACCCCAAGAGCTTTACCAGGCCGGGCGCCCCTGTATCTCACATTTTCGTTTTTGCCCAAATGCCCTTTAAAGGCAGTGTCCGGGCAAAAACTCAATTTTGAAATTTTGTGCTTACTTGGGCCTATTCGCTACGCTGAGTCCGAAAATGCACAGTGTAGAGCGCGAAAATGGCGAAAAACAGCTCTAACACAAGAGGGAAATGAGCAGGTGGGCGGGGTCTTCCCCACTGCAAATTCACGTTCCCGGCTTCCGGAGCGACCTTCTCGCTTCCGGTTTCAAGTCAATCATTCGCACTTGACCGGTAGCGATGTTAGGACGGCTAGCGGAATCGAAAAAATCGCTCCGGGAGCTAGGAGCGTGAAATCGCACTGGGGAAAGTCCCGCCCACGTGCTGATTTCCCTCCTGTGTTAGAGCCCTTTTTCGCCGTTTTCGCGCTTTCCAATGTGGATTTTCGGATTCAGCATGGCGAATAGGCCCGTATAAGCACAAAATCTCAAAATCGAGTTTTTGCCCGGACACTGCCTTTAAAGGCAGCGGCTCGGCAGAATGACAACTTTGGGATATTCATCGTTCTCGGTTCCCCTGTATGAGCTAAGTGCAAAACTGTGCTTTGCAGCTTTAAAAAATATGGATAACCCGCTTTTTCAGAAGTGTAAAGTGCTATTTGGACGGACGGGTATGCCTGCTCTCTAGAGCGCAATTGGCTCGTGAATGGAGGCTAGATTATTGATATCTTTTGAAGCTGCAAAGTACAGTCTTGGACTTAGCTCATACAGAGGAACCGAGAACGATGAATATCCCAAAGTTGTCTCTGCCGAGCCGCTGCCTTTAATCGTGATCGACAAGTGATCGGTTTGCAACAAATTACAGAAGCTACGCGCCCTGTGTTGGAGGACCGCGCACGATAAATATGGAGACATCTGGCAAGCTGCCGGGATGCATATGCTTGCCGCTGCAACGTTCATATGAACGTCGCGATTTATTAGCTGAATCGCGCGAGGTATGTTTTAGGCACAGGCTCCACCCGCGCGGCCAGCCAGCATAGGCCTGAGGTGAAGGCGCCCGGTACGTCGCAAATGTCCGCGCATGACCGCCCCTTTCGGACCCAATGTCCTCGACCCAATGGTCAGTTTACTGAATTGAATAGCGAAGCTAATCAGGCGGATCACGCGGATCAAGTATGGCGCTCACCTGCATATCCGATTTCTCAAGGCGTGAAATGTAGTGCGGTGCGTGTTGTAGAATTTGCATTCGATTTAACGGTTACTTTTGACGTTAGCAGAAAATGTATGATGTAGTTCTCGCTTCTATTGCCTCATGCTGTAAGGCTAAGCAGTTTAGAAGAGTGTACACCTGCTGTCACTAGCTCTTGAAGGAACAGAACTTGTAAAGCTGGTTTTTATTTTTGCTTTAATCGCCTGGTCATACATCATTGGCAGTGAATTGAACCTAAAGGTGAAACTGCAGAAAGCACTGCAGATATGTAACCTTGATTCTTTTAGATAAACTAATAAAAGTTCTGTGATCTGATTTCATCAGCTAGGTTAGATATATACTACATCGCGATAATCCTATAAACCTTCACTTGATTGATTGGCAAGCCTCATCTACTATTTTAGGGTCGTCACATATGGCGGCGGAACACGAGAGCAAACCACTTTATTTTGCAAATGGCGATTTCGCAAAAACAGTCGCGGATATAATCGCAAGTCCACGAAGGCAAGTGTATTTTGTGCGATTTTTGGTTACTTTACATGTCCTTGGTTGACTTCATGTGCTCAGTGATACCTTCCTTTGCCCCAGCTGTAAAAACGGAGCTGCATGGCCATTTTCTGCAGAAGTAAAAGACTTGAAATGGCGACAGTAGTTCCTCGGCACTGCTCGGCTACTTTCCAAAACTTTGAACCAACTTCGCAAAGAGTAGTCGTTTCACATGGTATAGCCTCCTTTATTCGATTAATATACGATAAGGACAAGACCTTGAAAATTCCGCTTTAGTCTTGCATGGGGGGGGGGTGAGTTATATATATGACAAGCTGATCAAGAACATCAGTTTCATACTTTGAGGCATGCATTAGGCATTGTGAATTTTTTAAGCCGCATATCTATCGTAGTTTTATTTGCTTTGCCATGCGAGATCAGCATCATTTCGTGATCACCAGTTTCCTGTCGAATCTTTGAGTTATATTCACTGTAAACCCCCACAAAACGACTACGATCCGAATGAGCGATATTCGATTATGTCGTGCGCTCTATAGGAACGAACTGATTTTGAAATATATGGCGGATAGCCGAATACCGTCCCTTTCTCATGTTCTTCCTCTCAGCTACTGAGTGTGATGATATTGATATGCTTACGAATGAGCTGGTCTGATCCATCATCTCCGTAGTTCTCCCGCAATACTCTGAAGGAGGGCTGAGTCACGCACGCAGTTTGGATTGTTTCCAGCTTTCCTCTCTGTGTTAAATCTGACAGGAAGCTATACATGTAACACTATTTTTTTCTGAAATATTTCATTTGGAGGCAGCGTCCCGGAAAGTGATAGGTACAGGAACAATTTTACAGCCTCCAACGGCAGACCCCCAGCTAACTTATCAGTCTGAGCAAAGAAGCTCGTCTGGGAACCTAAAACCTATCTTCAATCTCGGTCCCGCGCCCTCGTTCCGGACCCCGCCTACTTACGCGTCTTCTCCCGAACATAAAGAGCTTTGAAAAAACTCACTTTCGCCATTTTTTGCGCTACTAAGCTCATACGTTCAGCGTAAAAAAAAAACGGGAGACTGGAATCTTGCTAGGACACTGCCGATGACGATCTCCCACCGACGTTCAAGACAATCTTTATAATTATTTGTACTCAACGTTCTACCTATGGCCGTTCCCTTAGGGATTCTTGTGTGTTACTGGTTTTTTTTGCAGAGGCAAAGCATATGCGAGCCAAGATGCTATTTATGAAATATCAGAAAAGCAGCGGGACTATTACACAAAGTGTTTCCGCCATCTGATGCGCACCACTCAGGTTCTTGCTTCTAGTTTCTAAATGCTTACATGTTTCATGATCATCTTTAGGGGAACGCTTGCCTTGAAGGGGCTCTGAACGGTGCGGACATGCGAATAATCGAATTTTTCAAGCGTAGTGGTTTGGACAATGAAGTTTTGTCAAAGTGAGCGGTTTGCGTGTTTTTTTTTTTGATATGAATATGTAATATCCATTTCATCCCAAGCTCATTTTTACTTTTCTTTCCTTTTTTCCGTTCTCTCAGTAATTGTTCAGAATTTGGAGCCTGTCGGACGTGAATGAGGATGGCTGGCTTGATATCAATGAATTCTCTGCTGCAATGCATCTCATTGTTTTAAAAGTGAAAGTAATCATAATACCTTCTATTTTTTGCTTTTTGATTTTTGAGCCATTGCATTAAGGGGCATGTAGAGATCCCACTGAGTTTGCCGAGTTGTATTCGACCCCCTATGACTCCTCCTAGAGCCAGTTCTCAAGTGCAAAACAGTCCTGTTGCTACCGCATCCGCTCTCCGAGGTGAATAACTTGCATCGCCTATGTTATTTGCATCAAAAGAGTGTGTTGAGGACCACCGTCTTCTGGTTCGTGGGATCAGTTTGATGCAGTTGATTTCGCTCCACCAAGTTCAGCCAATAATCTGAAAAAGGTACGTAGATACTCTGTTTGTTCAAGTGCTTTTTTTACAGAATGTTTGCATAATCCTTTCGAGTATCATTGTTCACTGTTTTCTCTCTAAACATACTTCTTGCAGGAGACCCCCCTTGCTGAGTTTTCCGATATCCCTCCATTATTAGTAGATAGTCGTCCTACAGCTGTGAAACAGAGTAAGTTTCCAGGTCCGGAAGCGTTGCAGTTTTCGTAAGGGATTTTTCCAGCAGTTCCAGCTGTGCCTCTGCTTGCCTTGAAATCACCGAGTGGTCCACCACCCCAGCCCCCTCCTCGACCCTTGCAAAAGGGGCACATAAGAAGCGCTAGTTTGGATATGATGAAGCAGCTTCAGTTAGCACAAACAGGGTAAGCGATGGTTGGCATAAGCTTTTCAAATCGAAATAATCCACTGTTCAAAGGTAAAGGTGAACTGTTCTGTATTTGAGGATTCCCTTCACATCGATTGATCGGCGAGCCTCAGATTCTACTTCCATAGCCGATTGTGGACCTCTTTCATCTGGTGTGTTTCAAATCTAAATGCATCTTAACAAAGAAACATTTTGCGACATGTGAAATTTTATTCTGAAATCAAGGCTACAGAACTGCTAATCTTTCTTTTTTTGCGAGTGATATGCGGCATGAACCTTCTCTGAATGACAACATCCTCTTTTTTGCTTCGTTTCGCTCTCAGAAGTCCTGCCTCACCCATCCATCATCTTTTAGCGACCGTTCCACCACCAATTCCACAACGAATTTCTCCCCCAGCGCCGATTCCACGAAAAAGCAGCAGTACAGAAACACAGACTGATGGTCGATTTGTGGAAGCCGCTGAGCTGGAGCAATTTATCGCAGAGTTTGGTGAGTTCCTTTATCCGCTTGTAGCGCGTTCGCAACATGTTTTGTTTAGACACCCAAATTGCTGAGCTTCTTGGAGATGAGACGGAGGCTACAGCTGGAAAGGGAGTAGAACGTTGGGCCAGACGCTGTCAAGGTTTGTGTATACTTATAAGTGATGTTATGCATTTTTATTTAGTCATTTTATTCTTTTTATTATAGGACTTAGAGCTCAAAATGCCGAACTTGAGTCAGAGAGAGCTCGCATGGCGCAGGTTTGTTAATTTAGAGAATTTTTTGCTAATGTAATCGAATCTAATCGAAAATAAATGATTTTGTCTCATACAGTTTTCTGATGACAAGAATTCTGATAACATATTCATGCTACCCATACGATATATTTTTAGTCTATGAAGGACGTTTTTTGTGGATTTTTTGGTTTTGCGTAAATATGATTTTCGGACCTTCTGCTCATGCTGGATCCTTCCCTTTATTTCACAACTTGTAATTCTGTAAATGTTACATTTCCGACCTGAGCAATGATCAAGTTGGAAGCTTAGATCAATGAGATACAAGAAATCCAAAAAGATAGGTATAGTTTTGGGTTCAGTCGATCAAAAGGTGCAGGTTAGATTAGGTTATCAAAAGGTTTAAATTGATAAGCTGAAACTGTGTTTAGGTATAATGCATTAGTGCAAGGGTGGTAGGCTAGAACTGCCTATATACCGAAAGGATCAAAGTACATTTAGGTGAGAGTACAGCTAGAGTTACGGCTTCAAGAATTGGAGGAAGGTAATGGCAAAGGACATAAACCAACAGCTCTCTGAGACTTTGTTGTAAGCTACCAACTTTTCTCTACTTGATTTTTTTTGGACTAATAGAGTATGCGTGCTTTGAATTTTTAAAGTACACATCAATATGTGAATCGCATGAGTTGGTTGCTAGTCCCTTACTAATCCCTATCACTGTTGCTAATCCGCTCTAGTCTTATGGATGCTGTTAAGCATATTTGATCAGCATAATCGTGAGAACATGTATTCTATCTGATAGCTGGATGCTGGTACTCTAAACGGTGTTGGGAATTCGAATACGTTGCTCGTCTTCTCCTTCTTCGTGTTCGGTGGTTTCTTTTCACCACAAGTCTCGTATTTCTTTTTCGACACTTTACTTACACACTGTCTTCATGTGCAATCTTTTTTTTTTTATTTCTTCGATTACTCTGTGATATGTATTGCGGTTCCGTAGTTTTGATGCCTTACTGCGAATGCTAAAAATTTCTGTGTTATTGATAAATTGTTATTACACGTCATCTGGTCAAATCAAAAGAAATTACTTTTAGTCGAGTGAGGGATGATCATTTTTTCGCTCAGTAATTTTGAGCTGGAGAGATAGCCAGGAGTTAATAATCTTTCTGAAAGAGAATGATATTCAGTTCATCATGAGCGGACAACAGAAAAGCGACTTTTAGGCGCGATAATCTATCATACTGAGAGAAAACAACAACTGTAGAGCAGCTGTAATTTTAAAATTTGAACATTGTTCGTTCAAAATGAAGTGAATGCTTACTGGAATAACAGGTTTGCTAGCAGAAACAGATAGACCCACCTCTGGATTCTACATGGATGAGACGCTCGGATCCTCTTTTCTAAAGCACAAAACGTGCGCAACAATTTTTATCTCCACCACTCAGATCTTCTTTGATGTTAGTTCTCTATAAAATCTGTCTTCAAATCAAGCAAATTAGTGACGGAACGCTACGCTGGCGCAGATGTCCACCAGCTGCTTTAAGTCAGAATGTCGTGGAATAGAAATTGAGAAGAAAACGATGAACGATAGTCAAAGTCATTTGTAGAAGATGGTCGCATTAAAATAATCATAAGCAGGGAATCTGGAATAATGAAAAATTGCATTTCGATTAGATCAATGACGTAAGAGTAGTAAACTAAGTCAAATTTTAAAAAACTGGTTAGAGTGTTTCGAATCAAATCAGTCAGACATCTGTCTCATCAATCATGTTTTTATTCCACCTACAAAGAATGGGTATTAAGCCATGCTGGAGAATTTGGGAGATTGTAAAACTGGAAGCATTAAACCCTGTTTTCCAGTACTGGTCGCGCGATCCCAGGATTCCCGGTTCGGGGAAGGGGACAAGAATTTCTTTTGGAAGGAGGTGCGTTTCGGCAGCCACGCCGCCAAAAGAAAATTCTTTTTAAGCTACATAGACTAGATTTTGAAAAAATTTAGAAAATTACTTCAATTATCTAGATGCACAAAGGTCACTTGCAAATTGTTAAAGTACCACTTTTCATTGAGCACTAAATATTTTGCCAACTTGAACTACGCTCGCACTCTTTGCTAGAGGATTGTTTCCCAAATAAGCAAATCATGTTCGAAATGCATCTCTCCCCTTTGCTAATAATTGTATTCTATCTTGTGAAAAATCATTTTCCACAATGGTACGCACATGTGAGGAATCCACACAGTGTCTCTATAAAGCTTTTTTACACACTTTCCCATCTTCAGCGCCAAATTGACTAGTTAGGCCATAGATATGAACTCTAGCAGATGCTTCAGCCTCTGGCAAACAAATCGTTGTCCTCTGTAGATCATTTGAGGCGCGAAATAGCCCTGGGTCGTCTTGAGGTCTGCGCTAGTGGGTGGAGCCCTGTTTTGGCGCCTATATTTAACGGCCCGCCGCGTTTTGAACCACGCAATTCTGCCCCTTGTTATTCTTTTGCTGTTGGTCTCTACCCATATTCACATCCAAGACAAAAATGGTCCTTAGTGCCAGAAAGGTATCTTTGCAAGCTTTTAGACTTCAATTTCTGTTTTATTTCAAATTTTCATCTTTATTCAAAATTCATCATAGATGTCATTGGTATTTCAGAGCAAACGCAATACATCTCCTGTCCCGGAGGATCCATTTCAGCCTCAATCGAGTACATTTGTTCGAGCTTTGGATGGAAAGTGAGTCACTTTTACTTTTTCTTTCTTCATCTTGGTTCGCCTTTTGATTTTCACTTGCTGATTTGAGCATTTGATTTTCCTTTTTTACAGCCCTCCTCCAACGAAAATCGAGCAGAAATTGGCCAGACATGCTGCTCGTGCAGCGGATCCTTCGATCCTTCCTGGAGTTCGACCTATTCCCAAGGAAGTTTCTGATTCCCTAAGAGACCAACTCACACCTGGGAAGTATTACGCAAAGTTAGTACGAGTTAATTTTTTTAGGTTTTGAGGATTATATTTGTGAATAGTTGGATAATAGTGGAATCGGGATAATACGTATTTTCTTGGGAACTAAGCAGTCAAATGTTCTACTTCGTGAGTGTGCCGATGCTAATCTTAGGCTAAACAATTTAGAACTTCATTTGTCTCAGATCGTTGGGAATTACTTGTATATTGTCCACTAAAATCTACTCATTGATCTCAAAAATTCGGTTTGTTTATAGGTCTATGACACAATATCTTGGCCCCTTTGACGACGAACCCACAGCTGAAACATTACCAAGTGGCGATACCTACTTTATCCTGCAGGTTAGCAACGAATAATCTAGATAACATTCTTCAAACTGCATTCGTTTTCAGAATATGGGACGTCTCGGTGATACGGGAAAGTGCGTGTTTCGGCATGTGAAGCAAATCAACGTGTAAGTTATTTTTTCTGCTTCGAAATGAATTTTAGTTGAATAGAACGAATTCTTTCATACAATTTTGTCCTCAAAGTACTCTTATTTAGGCCAACCAGAGATTTTCCGCCTCCACGTCCTATTTCACCTTCGGAACTGCCGGGAGTTCGATCACTGAATGATGAATTGGACGAGGATGCTAAGGAGAATCTTGTTCCAGGACAGTACTATGCAAAGTGAGCCAATTTAGTCTTCTATTTTTATAATAAAGAAATCAAGTTGTTCATGGTCGTTTCCTTCAGGTCAATGAGTCGATACCTGGGGCCTTATAATTCCATCCCCACCGCGGATATCCTTCCTTCTGGAGACTCGTACGTCATTCTGCAGGTAATTTCCAATAGTTGACTTAAACCCCTATGCATTGTTGATGTGAAATTTGTAGGAAATGGGTCGTATGCCATCGGGAAGTATGATTTTCCGAAGAGTAACTCAAATTGACCGTTAATTTTTGTGCTAATTTGTTTGCATCTCATTCAATATAGATTAGTATCTTGTGAATTGATCTGTGTCTACAATGTAATATATTTACCTGATCCTGATTGTGATTGGTTTGATTTAATTCCTATGAACAGATTGTTGTTCGTCTATGAATTGCAATATTTATCAGTTTCCCATTTGTTATTCGGTATTAATACGTTTTTACGTGTTATCCATGTTTATGTATAAGTATATTCGTTATGAATAGCATTGTATTGTCTAACTTATGATGTGGGGTCAACTATATACCGATCATTTATATGAATCATGTCGACTAATAATTATTTGAAAGGTAATAAATGCTCGGATGTGCCTTTGACGAATTGTTTTAGAGAGGACAAGATCTGGATTCGATAATTATGTAAAAAAAAAGACAAAGAACAATAGATACATTTATGAGCAACCTAGCAATAACGTGTCTCAAGATGAACTGACATTCACATTATTTGGACTTCCTATCGTGGGGGATTTTATGCCAAGCAAAGTTTTAATGCTCTTCGCGTACTCCCTTGTCGATTCGGGTGTTTCCTCCTGTAATACGAAGGCGTCATGATTGGAAAGGATGGGACGGAAAAGACATTGAATGTAATAAATGCCATGATATTTACACATTCGGAAGTATTGGGCAAGACTCAGTGGTGAAAAAGTATCTGCTCTAACCAGACCATATTACTACTTTCTTCGTTCCCCTTTTCTTTATGTGCCTTGCTATATCAATAAGCACATTTAAAAAAATAAATCATGACCCCCTGACAGAGATTACTTCTTTAACAGCTTCATAGATAAGTGATAACAAGACATGAATGAAATACAAATATACATACCTCATTTATGTACTTGTTCCACAATTTTCCAAACTCTTGAACGTGGGAATCGGTAGTAATTTGACTTTCGCTGACATCACCGCCAACTTTGAGAGGAGTTTCCTAAAAGATCGAGAAAAAACTCTTTGGTACTGAGAATGAGAGTGGGATGTATCTATAAAAAGTTAACTCACAAGCTTTTCATTTTTGACGGCATGCTTGAGGAAAGAAACCAGTTTCTTTTGCGTTTCTGACCCTTCGAACTCAACCTTGAGACTATCCTGACGCTGCTTCAATTCCTCCCAGGATTCTACCTTCTGAACAAAAGAAAGTCAATAGCATGTAAATCATATGGTGAAGAATTTAACGGTAAGGAAAACTTACGTTAGCTTCATGATATATTGCGGTTAGCAGATAGAACGCGTAGTCAAGATTCTGTTTTCTTGTGATACACCTGAAATAGTGATATCCTCTCAACGATCTACAACCAAATGTAAAGGTACCTATCGGTGATAACTGTCAAAGTGTCTGTCTTCTCATCATAACGATCACCAGCGAGACGGATGAGTTTATCCTTTGCATGAGGGGACAGTGAAAGCGCTGCGAGTTTCACATGAAAAATTGAAGTTCAGGATATCTAGTGAAAAAAATCACGGAGCTAAAGCATTCTTCACTTCACTAACCTGTAACGTGATGACGCGAGCCCGATTGTCTCTGATATTCGTTCCCTGGTGAACATAAGTGTTGTAATTAATTTTCATGGGAAATTCGCTTTCTACTAAATCTTTGTTCTCTATAAGCTCTTGAGGATACTGGGTACAGAATTCTGAAAGTAGAGATAGAGCTACTGTAGAATATGTCTGAAAAATATCCACAAACTTTTTATGGCATTGCAATGCTTCTCTATAGCAGCAGGTGTTAAATGAAGGAAATTTGGAATCTTCACAAGTTCCAGATTACCCTGGAAGCAAGTAATATAGAATCTAAACTTGGTTTCAAATGATTCATTTTAAATCAAAAGGTGTCACAAACGTCAGAAGATCCAAACCCCTACCTGCTTCTTAAATGGCGCTCGCTTTTCGGGGTTTGGACGCGTTCCCATCCTAACTGGAAGTGGGACTACAGAAGAAGCAAAAGATCTTGCTGCGGGCCAAACTGCTGTCCAATCCTAAAAATCATCTCAAGAATCGACAAGAACGGCGCGAAAGTAGGAAAAATTGACATTACCTGATCAGTGCTCATTTCTTCACTCCTAGGTTTTCGAACAGACAGGCGGTCATGGATGTCCGGCCGGCTTCGCTGAACATAGGTAGATCGACCTGTTGCCTGTTCTATCTGAAATACACGGTTTGCAATACTGAGGCAGAAAAACATCGATGCTCGTTCATCTAAGGCACTTGATCCGCTTCGTCATGGATCAATTCGGTGGACCGACCAGTAGTGAAGCGTGTGGTGGATCAAGGGGACAATCGCTTCGCTATTGGTTAGTTCACTGAATGACCAATGACGAAGCGAACCAAGCGGATTAAGTATGGCGCGTGCTTGAGTCTCCTTATTAGAGCAAAATACAAACACTCTACTGACAAGAGGGAAAAAGGAAGATAACGTTTTCAAATGAAGTACTGCGTAAAAGACTTGATTACAAAAACAAGAATGAGGCCATAAGTTCAAAAACAACATGAAACTGAAATGGAAACAGACAAAAACAGTAGTGTAGGGGAACTTCTTACCAGTAACTGCCCACGCAACTTCCTTTTTGGCATCACAAACATTTCATTGAATTTCGTTCCCTGCAATTCAGACATGGTCTACATGGTTCTACGTACCGATTGATGTAAAACTTATCCCTACTTCAGCATCCAACTCGGCCTTAGGCACTCGATCTGGATGAGACTTTCTATCGGCATCTCCTGACACAGCAACACGAAGTTTCTCTGCTAAAGTGGACTGTTGCCGTACGATGGAGGCAGTGCCCGTTCGGCATAACATCACTCAAAAACCAAAACTATTCTCCTGTATGATCCTTCGTAACGAATACAGTCCAGTAAATGGATTTTCCGCTTGGATAGTGTGCTTGAGTGCCGAGAAAATGGTATAGGGTATATATACCAACCACCATCGATCGTGGGTACCTAAGGCTTGAGATATACCTGACGATGGGTCGATATAGCTGACGATAAGGCGCTGCCAGCAGCAACGCCTTTTGTGCGTATCGATTGACGCCAGGCGACGCTGCTGCTGCTAGCTGCTGCAGCCAACGCGAAACGAACCCGCTATAGCTAGCGATGCTGCGCTGCTCTGCGCTGCTGCTTGCTGCTCCTTGCTGCTCTTCGCTGCTACGCGATATGAAGCTCACTTTTGGTGAGCTTCTCTCAGCTGCTTCATGCTGCTAACGCTGTTTTTGCTCGGATTTGTCCATTTTTAGCATATTTTTGAACTTCTGAAGGATTTCTAGAGCACTTGTTGCGATACTGAACCATGAGAAATTTGCAAGACCAAAACGCAATGCATCAATAAGAAACACATTAAAGAATTGACAAAGTCGACAAAGAATTGGATCTGAACAACTGCACAGAACTTTTGCGAAGCAAAAGTGAAATCAAGTTGGAGTAACGATGAAAAGCTAGAGGATTTTAACGACTTAGTGGGATGTTACCAGTACACCGCAGTACATTAACGGCAGCTATGACCTAGATTGTTCGGTTTTTGCCTCAAGCATCAAGTTCTCCTGCGACACTCGTTTGGATATTTGTCAAATGATTATTTACTCAGTAGATGCAACATTTGGTTTGCCATTTTATGTTTCTTAAAAAAATTGTTGATGAGAACAGGATGACTTTTTTGGATCTCATGTAAACATATTTTTCAATTTTGGTAGTTCTCAAGACTTCCTTGCATAATGGCCTAAGCTAAGCGTAGTAATGGGTAGAGTTACTTCGTCCATGCACCCAAAACGTAACCAGCGCAGCAGCCAAGAGCAGCTAGAGGCAGCGCAGACATCAGCGATTCGCCAACACCCGCTATACCTCTATCGTCAGGTATATCTCAAACCTAAGGGATGAGGCAGCGCGCGCGCACTGCGAGCGAAAGAAATTGGAAATTGCACTGCGAGCGCAATCTGCTATGAATCATACACATTCAAGACCACGCTCAATTTTCTTTCGCAGTTTTCGTTTTATTTTTATTTTGCCATGCGTCTGTTCTACTCCAATGTACTTGGCTGCACTGAGCGCGGAAGCTGTTATATATCGCGCACACTCCCGGCCACGATCAATTCCTTTCGCAGTTTTTGGTGTTTTCTTTCTTCTTTATGCGTCTGTTCTCCTGCACTATACATGCTTTATAGATTTGATTTTAGTTCACGGTGCGGGATACTTTCAGAGGAGAGCTTCGAAAGTACGCCGCACCAGCAATAACACTGGATATTGTTCTCTTCTCAAAATAACGTTTTCGGTTTATGCTTATGTTTTGATTATGCGGAGATGAAAATGTATTCCATCGCCATCGAGAAAGCATTAATAATCGTCATTTTTATATTAACTTAGTTGCGAACGCTCTCGAACACCAGTATCATACCCTTAATATGAGAAAACAAAACCTACTTGCTTTTTCCATGGCGACGGGGATACATTTTCACCTTGCACGCCTGAAGCATGAGCACAAACTAAAAAATTTGTTTTGAAAGAACAATGTAATGTTGTAGTTCCGGAAGCTCTCCTTCAAAATATGTCCCCCATAAATTAAAATCAAATCTATAGACAAGCCAAGTACACTGAAGTAGGACAGACGCATGAGAAAGTAAAAAAAAAACGGAAATTGCAAAAGAAAATTGAGCGTGGTCTTAAGTGTGTGTGATTCTAGCAGGTTCCGCGCTCGGAGTGCAACCTCCTTCGCTCGCCAGATCCACATTCACTACCAAGCTTCGGTATCTAGCCCTGGAAGTCGAAGAGACCTTTCACTATTGGAGATCTTTGAGAGTAAAAACTGGCTGGCAGCATGCTGAGGAAAATGGCGCTCGCTTTTCTGCAAAAGCGCGAGACCACGGAACCGCTACAGTACGAAGATAACGGCGATTTTGCCTCCGGTAACTACGGCAAAACCTCAGTTTTGTATTTCGCAGTAACAAAAACGCCGGAGGGGTAGAAGGTTCATTCGTCAACATTTAACATCCATAAGGGGTCAAGGCCCCGAAAATGGCATAGTAAGCACCACTATTATGGCAACAATATTAACAACGGCGATAAACATTACAAAACGCATCAATGTTGGGAATGAAAATATATAACCAAATATATTGAGAAAGAATCTGCTTTCTCACATCCAGCAAATAGAGGGAACAAGGAGCGGTGAAACTCAGAGATCCATCGCAATCGTAGGAAACATCGAATTACGTTACTCAGGAGATGAAACAGGTAGCGAACAATAGGACCCATAACCTGGATCTCAAGATAAACTATGACACCGAATCAATACGGTCAAAACAGACCAAACACTCACACCCTAACCTACGTGAGAACGAAATCCACAGAAAAACTTATTGCAGAGTACACATAAGCTCGAAACGAGATACCAAAATTACCAGAAGTGCTACATACAATTGAATACTGAATTGTAGGCAAACGAGAAGCAGAAAGCGGCACGATGGCCTGAGTCTCGACTGAAAACCGATAAAAGTATGAAATTGAATATGTAGTCAAATCGGTTCGTGACAAATAAATCTGTACACTCGAATAGATGCAAGGAAAACTATGAAGGCACTCGTGTAGATTCATGTCTATCTCGACGAAACAAAGGGAACAACGAAAATTACTGCTATAATCAAGGCAGCTATCAGAAAAAAGCAACATGCTAATAAAAATGACCGGATTGAGCTGCAAGGGATAGCTACTGCTATGTGTGCAACAAAAAAAAAAGGCGAGATGAAATATATGAACGTAACATGCAAAGAAAAGCTCAGCTCGGCAGCGGGATGTCTTGTTACATGAGGCTTACAAGGGCGTCGGGTCGATGTAGGCTTGGAAAGCTTCTGCCGTCTTCCATCTGCCTGCTCGCATGACGTTCTCGGGATGCTTTCCTGCGCGTATGGCTTCTGTGGCTGCACCCCCGCGGAACGAATGTGGGGTGAGCCTTCTGCTTTGCAATCCGGCCTCCTGCAGTAGCTTCTTGATCCTGCGAGATACAGCATCAGTCTTCGGTTGCGGACCATTGGCTTCTTTGCTGAAAATGAAATGTTCCGGGTTCGGGGGGAGGAAATTCTCAAATACTCTCCAGAGTATCAGAGCTTGGCCCTCTAGCCGGAAAGCGATGGTGACTCCTTTTCCTTCTTGGTCAGTTTTTGATTTACGAATGGTCAGCCACCAAATGTTATCCCCCCTATGGCAAATATCAGCCACCCGGAGCCTGCACACCTCGCCTACGCGCAGAAAAGCTTTGAATAAAAGTAGGACTACTGCAGCTACTGTCCTGAAGCGTTTTTCGCTGGAGGGCGAAGCTAATGATTGCGTCCACATCCCCTTGGCTGGCTTTCCTCCTATGAATCACGGGTGGGGATTCCTTCTTCGCTGCCCGAAGGAGCGCTCTCAATATGTCCTCGTCGTCTTGTGGAAGCGGCCCGAAAAAGTGGGATAAAGCTGCTACGTGGTAGCCAAGCGCTCGTACTTTTCCGCGCTCTATCAAATGCGCTATAAAAACGTTCCTCAGCTTATGTAGTGCTGCGAATGGGGCCCGAAATTTTCCAATGTAGTGTAGAAAACTCCTTTGAACTCTCCGGTAAATTTTTCTGGTGCCGTCTGCCAGCGCATTGTCGAAACAAGTGTCGATCAATTCGGCCACCTTACTAAGACCTGCCCCAGAAGCGATCTCCGCTGTCTCTACCGCCTTTTTCCTTTTTCCGTCCGCGAGCGCCTCTGAAAGAAAAAAGAGGAGTAAAGCGATCTCACAGAGCCCTCTTCCAGAGCTACCCGAGCTGCTCGAGATGAGCACTTTTCCACTTCCCCAGAACGACAAATCCCGAGTTTCCCTGCAACAATTTGAATGCCCGCCGCGAAAAATTTGGGTTATTATAGCATTAAGAGCAGGAAGGCAGAGAAAAGAGGTGACTACGCTACTGATATTAAAATTATATGGATTTTGGCCTCAGGGCGGGCGGGTGGGTCCTAGGTTGACGTAGAACCGGAATGGCAAGAACGACGCCAAGCACGCCTTGTGAGCAAAGCTCCGCCCCCTGACCTCGGCGTGCTTGGCTTCGCGCCCCAAGCCCTACGCGAAATACAAAACAACACTTTTGCCTCCGGTAACTACGGCAAAACCTCAGTTTTGTATTTCGCAGTAACAAAAACGCCGGAAAAAGTTAAAGCGCGAGGGGGTCGTCGAAACGGAGGAGCGCAAAGGCAAAGTCAAATTTAAGCGATGTACCACCGAAAGTAAAAGAGGGAGAGTTTCCTACCAGAACTGGACTTCCAGCCGGGAATATCTTAAGATCTTTAATCTCGCGGATCCAGGAGTCCCCTTCGCGCAAATACGCGAAAAAAAGGTTAGAAGGCCAAACTGGAAATCCCAAAATACCCCGGCTACCATGCCGTCTGGCCCAAATCAAGGTTTTCGCTATAAGATTCGGAGGAGGAACCCACCATATAAAATTGTTTCTCCACCACATTGTTGATTCTGCTGCGAAGGCGTCCGTCGCCACTGCTTCAGAGCAGGCTTCCCTGGAAATGAAAGCGGGGCATTTCCTGCTAGATAGGCTAGCGAACAAGTCAATGCTGCAACGGCCCCAGTCTTTCTGCACCTGAGAGCAAATTTCGTCGCTAATGCTCCAATCATCCAGATCAATTAAACGAGAGGCCGAGTCAGCTTCATCATTGAATGCGCGAGAAATCCAAGAAAATTCGATTGTGAGCTGGAACTGCGCACAAAAATCCCATATTTCTCTAGCCAAACTTTGCAGGTGTGGTTTTGTGGTACCCTTTTTGAGAATAGCGACCGCTGCCTGATTATCGCAGTGCCACACAAGCTGTTCCCTAATGATGTGTTCGCGAAACGACCTCAGCCCAAACGAGATGGCGTAAAGTTCTCTAGCAGTACTAGAAGTCCCTACTAGTTCAGGCGGCAAATTTCCGGAAGATGTCATTTTTATTCCCAAGCTTAGATGCAAAACCGCGCCTACCCCGAATTCTGAAGCGTCCGAAAAGGCTCTCAAGGCGTCAGAAAGCTGCGAAACATTGGAAATGGGCGCGCCTTTAAAATCCAAATCAAAGTTTAACCAACCTTGAATTTCAGCTCTTTCCTGAGAGGAAAGGGACCATCGGAACGACATAGCCGTGCCCTCTTTCTCCCGCCGTGCCACCTGGGACACTACCGCTTTCCACATCCTCATTTTACCTGAAGGAATTACTAGATGCATGGAGGCCACTGTGCCTTGCCATTTCAATCTGTCTAACAGAGATGGGCCCCTCGCCGCTAACAGCCTCTCAGCCAACGCTCTCGCTTTCTTCCTCCTCTCGCTAGTGACGTTTAGGATCATCGATACCAGGTCAATGACATGGCCCAGCCATGTCAGCCTCTGGCTCGGAGTCCAGGCACATTTTTCCTCGGCTAAAGAAAAACCGGTACTGGCCAGGTCGGCTCTCACAGTCTGCACTGAGTCTTCGCACCTGTGTGCGGAATTGGACCACAAGAGGCCGTCATCAAGATACAGGGCAACGTTAATGCCACTAGCCCTCCATTTCCCCAAAAGTGGTCTCATCAATTTTGTGAATACCATTGGAGCCGAGGCTAAACCGAAAGGGAGGACAACGAACTTATAGTATCTATCCCTCCAAGTAAACCCAAAAAATTTGTGGAAGTCAGGCTTGATACGAACGTGATGATACCCGGACTTGAGATCGAACGATGCCATGAACCCATTATCCGGCAGAAGGGGGGCCACTTTTGTAAGATCTTTGAACTTGATTTTGTTCCTGATTACCCCCCTATTGAGCTCCGAAAGATCCAGAATAAGTCTCAACTTTTTCCCCTCCGCTACGGATAGTGGGTTAATTCTAATTCTCTCCCCCTCCTCTACCCCAATTATGGCCCCGGTGCGAAGCAGTTGGGCTAACTCAGAATCCACGAAGCTCTCATGCACTCGAGCTGAATTGCAATTATTTCGAACAACTCCTAGGGTGGGCTCGTATAAGAATTCCGGGGAGTAACCTTCACACAGTAACACCCTAACGAACGGCGAGGGACTGAGACCCAACCAAAAATCCAAGTAATTATGAATCAATCCAGCTTTGAACTCACTGTTGTGAACTGCTGTCCCTTCTGCATTCTCTGGCGAAATGTCCGTATCGGCCACAACTGTAGCACATCTCCCTTGGGCGACCTTCCTGCGGATGTGGGGCTCGGGGAGGGAAAGGGCGACCCTGTTGGAAGGGCATCTGGAAATTTTGAGGGGCGGGGGCCCGTGCCGCCCCTCCAAAACGAAAGGGCCTGTACGGCAAAAACCGCGCCCCTGAACAAGCGAAGTATCAATAACAGATACCCCAGAAACATTCGGAATCAATGCACCAGAATTACTAAGTAACTCACTCCACATAGACGAGCGGGTTGTAGTCGGTGCCGGCTTCTTATCGTCCTTCTTCTTTTTCTCTCGTATAAAGGCAGCTAATATCGGGTTGCTGACCTGCATCGCTTCGGCTTTAGAGTGCTGGTCGTAGAAGTCAAAGACTTCCGGATCCGTGTCGGCGACAGCTAATAATTCATTCCTTTGTGTGAGGAGAGTGATAGCTTTCAGTAGATTGGCTCTGATTCCTTCTTCTTCGGGAGCGAATGCAACGATGGGAGTCAGGGCTTCCATAACCTTCGTGTTGAACTCGAACTGCCGTGCCAGTCCAGGTTTCGTGAACGACGGTCTTGAGGAGCTGCTCGGGCGGGGTCCTGAAGTGTCGGGTGCCGTGACGGGAGATGAGGATGCTGCTGCCAATTGGTTGATCAATAGCTCGTACTGGTCACGCGTCATCTGCACGACCTCGCTGGTCGGATCCGGGGCAGTAGACGGGTCATGCCCCTCCATGATTGATTGAATATCAGAGTGTCGACTGCTTCCTAGGTTGACGTAGAACCGGAATGGCAAGAACGACGCCAAGCACGCCTTGTGAGCAAAGCTCCGCCCCCTGACCTCGGCGTGCTTGGCTTCGCGCCCCAAGCCCTACGCGAAATACAAAACAACACTTTCGAGCTTCAGTATTGTAGAAGGGCTGGCTAATCGAGCTTCCTTATAAATCATTTCAGCCTCTATAGGAACCTTATAAGATCCATATGCGCGTACGTTTCCAAAGGAAAGGAGAGTTAGCAGAGAGCTTCATATTTTGGAAGGGGAAGAACTTTTACCCGAAGCGGCCGCTGGTGAGATGCATATGGCAGATCAGTGATGAATGCTGATCTCAAAACTGCTTACCTACGGGTCGCTTTTCGAAGAGGTGAGTTCACAAACACAATGGAAAACCTATCTGGGAAAAGACTCGAATTTGCGACTGTCTGCGCAATATACGAGCAAACTCATATTGCGCCACCCTACCTTTGTTACAGTTGATACAATTCTTTATTACAGGTTAGTATACCGAGGGTTCACAATATGATCACACTTTTCAGGTTTTGAAAAAGAGCCACAGATAATGATTGTAGTGTTTTAATCAGCAGTTTCAGTAGATGGATAATAGGTTTTGGTGATATGGCAGTGTCCCTGTTAAATAAACTGTTTTTCTCAACTTAAAATTACAGTACTACAAAGGACTTACGCGCTTGCCCCCTGACCACTTCCTATCTGTTTCAGTGCCTTGCTCGTAGAGTTTCAAACGGCGGACGGTTAGTTGGCACGCTCCTCATAAAAATTTTCTTGTTGTTTTCTAACCATGACTCTTTGTGGAGAACTGGTTCAAAGTTTCTTCTATCACATCTATATATAAATAAAACTCAATCTCTGTAAATTTGTTAGTATGTAAGTATGTGGCTTATAGACTCCTTTGTTTGTGAACCGATGAGGCTGAAATTTGCTCCCTTATAATTGAGGCCAGGCGCAAAAGATAGGCTACTTTTTGGGGGAACGGTCAGGAGTCACGGCCGGCGCGAATTTTTCGCGAAGCGATGCCGCAGTCGATGTCAGCAAAACAAAAGCCAGCACTCCTGGCGCATTCTTACTTATGGCACGAGCCATGTATCTGCCCCCACCCCCCACCCCCCTAGACTGGCGCCGTGCCACTTTAGCTCTGGGCAGTTTTATGGGGTACAAAATTTAGACGCGACGTGCGCGACGAAGCGGCGCGGCGCGCGGCGTGACTCCTGACATGGAGCCACTTTTTGCGACGATTCACTGGGTCCTTCTATCGATTTATTGATTATTGCAACCTAAGCAGAGAAATGAAGCAGCACTGTCATATCATTTTCATCGAATCGTGTAGCAGAGCAGTATGTTTCATTCTAAACCTCTGTCATCAAAGCAGGGTGAAAAGCGTTTGGAAATGTAGGTTCTACATTTCATGTCTTTTGCAAAATACATTGACTTTATGGTGCGAGTGGCTATAACGCATTAAAGGCAGCGTTCAGGCAAGTCTGGACACATGGGGATTGGGGATCTCATGTGGATAGTAGTTTTGGGGCCCTAACTAGGCCACTGTCCAACCGGCAGCTCAGATAGTGCTCTAACGGCTGAGATATTCTCCTCGGAACTGGACCCCGGGATCATACTTCGCATGGATTCATGGCGCAAAGCTGGATCCTCGGGCGAAACTGCCATGGATCCATGTTAACACGTTCCTGGGGTCCACTTTGGAGGCGCATATCTCTGGCGTTAGTGATTTACCTGTGCTGTCGCTTGGGCAGTGCCTTAGTTAGGGCCCCAAAATTACTTTCCACGTAAAATCTCCATAGGTCCAGATCTGCCTGGACGCTGCCTTAAAAGAACTGTTGTGATGTCAGTGTGAGCCAACCAATTCGTTATACTTTTGTTCGCCAAAACAGCGTCCACAAAAGTGAAGGCTTTGAATTTTGTAATGAATAGTCAAATGACTGTAAAAACAGTCAAACGACTATCTCATAAGACAGGGAGCGTTAATTCTATGTCATGCACAAAGTGGAGAAAAGGTTATAAAGCTATTTACTCTTTGAAACAAAGACAAGACAAGCGACAACTTACTTACATTCGCTATAGTTGATCCCTGGGACCAGGAAAGTGCGCGAGTGCAAAGTACTGCCGACTCCACAAAAATTGACGGCAAGCAGTGAATGAAGATGAAGTAGCCGGTTAGCGGCAAAGTGTCACAAAAATGATCCTCATAATAACAATGAGCGCTGCTATCAATTAACTCGCGCTGCTTGGTGCTTAGGTTTTGCGTGTTGAACTTGATTTGGAGAAAGAGAGATATGCTACCGACTAATAAGTGTTCACATTTTGTTTGTGTTTTTTACACAGTTTCAGGGCCGCATGCACTAACATGGCCGCGGGGAGGGGATCGCAGCTTGAAAGAAAGCTTTATATTTCGAAACTCCAGATGCTTGGATTTCACGTTGTGTACCTATGCGTAAGTATTCCTACTATCCTTCACTATGAACATGTTGAACAGGAGCGAGAAGCTGTACAAACCGCATTTTCCAGCTTTTGTATGATCCCTGATGATCCCCGGCGCTTTTCTTTAAAGTCATTTTTCTTTCTCCGAAGTTAACGAAAAACTTACAAAGTTGTGCAGATTATCTAACCCAACGGTGCTAAGCATGTTGCTGATAAGAACAAATGATGTTTTGGAGTCATGAAATTTTCGATGATCCACAGGTCGAAATTTGGGGTATACCGAAAAAGTCAATTTTTCAAAAATTCATTTGTTCTCATCAGCAACATGCTTAGCACTGTTGTGTTAGATGTTTAGTACAACTTTGGAAGGTTTTCGTTAACTTCGGAGAAAATAAAAAGGCTTTGAAGAATAGATGTTCGTCCCCCAGGGATCATCAGGGGATCCTACAAAAAGCTGGGAAATGCGGCTTGTACAGCTTCTCGCTTCTGCTCAATATGTTCATAGTGAAGGATGGTGGGAGTACTTACGGATAGGTAGACAGCGTGAAATCCAGATATCCGGAGCTTCAGGATATGAAGCCTTCTTCTGAAGCTGCGATCCCCTCCCCAGCGGAAATGTTAGTGCATGCGGCCCTCAGTTTCCTCTGTTGAGGACAACCATCGGGAGTTGGCACAGGGGGTAAGTGAGCATGCTGATTATTAGCACAGCGAGAATAGGGAATTGGCATGTAGAAGTGGGCACAGAGAAAGGCTGTACAGGGATAGGGATGTGACCTTTATTATAGTGTTTTGACAAGGCCGGGCGGAGCCGGGTAAGCCAGCTAGTATCAAATATTTAGGAGTTTCTATCGTCAGCAAAGACAGTTATGCCTCAACATGGCTAAGTTTTCGAAAGCTTGATTGTTTGACTTCCTAGGCTTCGTTTTTATGCAGTAATGGATGCAGAGAACAGCAGTTTGGTTTTTGGATACAGAGTTTTCCCATTCAGTGAATAACAACGAAATTATGATCCAAGTACGACCGTCGCTCAATCTCGGCATTGTGGAAATTGCTTTGAGAACTGCTTGAGCTTGACACCGAGATTAGTAATTGCTTTATTCGACTGACGTTTCGGCAAAATCGCCTTCTTCAGAGTCTGAAATCGTCGAATGCATGAGTAATCTATCCTGTCAAAAACCGCATCAAGACTCAGAAAAGACGTCCAATGCGTCAGCAAACCGAGAGCTAAGAAAGTAAATACAGAATTAGACCAGTGCTCACCTAAAACAGCTGATGACTGCTTGGCAGCAGACCGTATACCAGTTACTGAGCTCAGTAACTGGTATACGGTCTGCTGCCAAGCAGTCATCAGCTGTTTTAGGTGAGCACTGGTCTAATTCTGTATTTACTTTCTTAGCTCTCGGTTTGCTGACGCATTGGACGTCTTTTCTGAGTCTTGATGCGGTTTTTGACAGGATAGATTACTCATGCATTCGACGATTTCAGACTCTGAAGAAGGCGATTTTCCGAAACGTCAGTCGAATAAAGCAATTACTAATCTCGGTGTCAAGCTCAAGCAGTTCTCAAAGCAACGAAATTATGATCTGCCACTTCGAAAATCTTCTATCAAAAAAACTAAATTTCCTCATATTTGCGCGCGAAAATTGTGGTTTCTCTCTTCTTTGCGCATTTATTCTTTGAGAGATAAGTACCACTCAAATAAAATTTTGGTCCAATTTCCAGTGAAGTGTTCTTTCCACAGATAACAAACACTGGATAAAAAATTTGTCTGCAGTATTAGCAAGAGTCGCAAAAGCGACCGAACTTATGATGGCCAACGTAATAGAACAAAATTTGTCGGAATTGTTCAATGGTCCAATGTTAAGAGCACTTTATTCAACGAATAACTTTTGTTCAAAACACTCATACTTAACGCTACTCTATTGAGCGCTGGTATTTGGATACAGAGTCTTCCCTATTCAGAGAATAACAACGAAAATTGTTATCTGTGCGCACGAGACTTGTGTTAAAGACAATCGTCAATCTGTGGCTGGAGCAGTACGGATTTGTTTTATATTATGCGACACGGCTTGCACGGGACTTGGGAGCCGTATAGTTGTTGCTTTGTCGGTCATCTTTGAAGTCATGGTGCTGTTGACTGACATTTGATTTTACTTGGAATATGCGTTCATTTTCCGCACCAAAAGCCTGGGAAGTCAAAGAATTAAGCTTTTGAAAATTTAGCCATGTTGAGGCATAACTGTCTTTGCTGATGATAGAAACTCCTAAATATTTGATATGTGGTAGAAAAAACTTCGAACTACTTCTCCACAAGGAGTCATGGTTAGAAAACAACAAGAAAATTTTTGTGAGGATCTGCATACCAAAACACTTACTTCTTAACCAACCTAATAATTACGCATTCAATTATTCAGACCAAAAAACGCCATAATTCGGTGTCTAGAGGCGTGGCAGATGACGAAGACATATTGAACGTTTGAACGTGTGCCCTTCAACGTCATATTAGTTTT